TAATCTTTGATATCCTTCTCAAACTACTGTTTGTTTGTTTGTTTGTTTTTTTTTTCATATGGTGTCTTAAAATTATCATGACTAGCTATGTGAGAAGCTATTCTTGATCTAAGTATTTTCTACTGAGAGGATTTGGGCGTTACATTTACGTCGAAGTTGAAACGTCTTGAAAACGTTTTCCAGAGTTTTTTTTAACAGAGTTTAGTCTCATGAGTGATATAAAGCTATTACATGCGTGTGTAGAGAATTTCCATAGGAACTGGAGAATAATAAGTTGTCCGATTGCTCGATTATCATAGTCTATGTCAGATAAAAAATGGTGATGAACTTTTCGAAGATTTATACTCAGTCATTGGTACTTAAATTTAGTTTCTTCCGATCAGAATTCGGTTTATCTGGACTTAAAATGACAGATTTTGGCCGTAATGGCAGGGATTTAGTCTTGATATTAGTTAATTTTCCGAGATTTCTCCTTTAATTTTCAATGCGATAAATTGTGTTATTTTTTACAAGCAGAACGATGCATTTTAAGTAAATTGTTTAAACTAATCGCCCAAAGGCAAAACGAGAAGTTTAATTTTATAATTTTAGTTATGGCTTACAAAGAATTGATGGAAGCTCAGAGCGAGCTGGAAAATTGGAGCCAAATGATTTTATTTAGTTTCTCCGATTAGATTGTTTACTTATTATCTAAGTAGAATAAACTAACATTTGAATGTCAAACAATGAAACAAGTCGCTTGGTATTTTGTTAGAATGGAAAAGGAAATCAATAACAAAGGGAAGAAAATTCATGCATCAACCTGCATAAGTCATTTCTTGTTTCATTTATAAAAAAACCAAAGAATACATAAGTTCACTCATGCGTAATTAATATGGTGCTCACAGGCAATAAAAGTGAGCACTTATTACTGGGATACCTGTGGTAGCCCAGTCATAAAATGCCTTTGTTTTTTTGTCGTCTTTTTTTTTTTACTGGGATACCTGTGGTAGCCCAGTCTTAAAATGCCTTTGTTTTTTTATCGTCTTTTTTTTTTTTTTTTCCTCCGCCACAAAATGGAAAAATTGCGCAATAGTACCCAGAGGTCATTGGGCCCTCAACACCATGACAACTAACTGTGATCCAATGAGGTGTTCACATGCTGATCACGCGTGTTATCTTGATGATGATTGACGTTGTCATACACGGACAGGGCCGGGTCACATGACAAATCACGTGGTTTTTGCTAATAAAACTCTTTGGTCAGTTGTTTTGTATTTCAACGTATTTGGATTGCGATCTCCTGGAGCATTATGGTGCAAACGCGCAAAATACTCACAGACGCATATACAAGTCGTATTAATCGCGACTAATCCACTCTGAAAGATGTTATTGAGCGGTAATTTTGGAACGGATTGAGTCGCAAACGCTTGAAAGCCATGAAAGCCTTGAATGCCTTGTATGCTGAGTATGCCAATATCGTAGTTGAAAAACGTTCACTTGTTGTAGAAAGCAAAATCTGAAATCTGAAACCAAACTGCATATACTCTATGCAATCTATTGAACAACACTACTACCGTGAGACTGAAGAACATCACTATAATGAATGCAAACTGTTTGTGAAGAAAGACGACATGTTGGATTCACTTGATGGCAAGAAACGTAGCTACGATAACAGTACGAATGGTATTAATTTCACGATCAGAAAGGTGATTCTGATGTTAGTTTTCATTGTAGTTGTATGGATATTCTTTTTTAATAAATGAGTGATCCAAAACCCTGTGTTTTTTTATGTATAATGTTATTATGTTTAATATTGTTTACGCAATTGTCTTGTCACAGGCAGCCCAAGCTCACGTCTCGAGAAAAAGCCAACGATTAAATTCATGAACGCGTCACGATAAATATTTCGAAATATGAACATTTTTCTCGTAAAATCAATAAAACTTACTCATACCCTGTGTATCCGTTGTATTTTCTGGCGATTTCTGCTGTTTTAAGCTTGCTTTACCATCACTGTTATTCACGTCATCTACTTTTATTACGTTGGTAAAATCTGTACAGACATCACACCAACCAACTCGCGCGCAAAGTAAGAAAACTATATTGAAGGCTTGAAATAATATTGCGATCGATTTTCATCAAGAAATGGGCCAGGAATATTCCACAATAGTGCAAGTAATCGTGAAGGGGGATCGCAGGAAAGAGATTGCGTGACGCGCGGTAAGCTGTAAGATGACATGTTATTATATACCAGACGTAAAAACTCTTCAGATTCTTAGTCTGCATTTTGTACCCACTCTGTAGTCTGCAGTCTATATTTTGTATCCGGTCTGCAGTCTGCTGTCTGCATTTTTTACTAACAGGTATCCGTGGCACCAATACAGTTTATTTTTGGTTACATTTATTCGCAAAACACACATAATCTACCTCAAAATACCTGTGAGTGAGGTAATTCGACATTTTCGTTCTTTCCCACATTAATATTCTCCTCTTCTTTTGTAAGAATGTAGACATCACTCACAATGTTTCAAGTAATCCACGCACTCTACAAAAAAGTAACTCTTGCATGCATAGCATGCCTATGTTTTGAAATAGGTGTATGCCCTTGGCCAGACTTGAGAGCACTATTTCAGTATACTAGTCCGACACCCGTAGTATCACTACACTTGATTCCAAGGATCCAGTACCATCCAGGTATCACAGTTACCCTGCGCACAGGGTCTTGTTTTTTTTTCCTTCCGCCACAAAATGGAAAAATTGCGCAATAGTACCCAGAGGTCATTGGGCCCTCAACACCATGACAACTAACTGTGATCCAATGAGGTGTTCACATGCTGATCACGCATGCTGTCTTGATGATGATTGACGTTGTCATGCACAGACAGGGCCGGGTCACATGACGAACACGAGATTTTTGCCCACAGAACTCTTTTGTCAGTCATTTTGTATTTCAATGTGTTTGGATTACAATCATCTGGAGCATTATGGCGCAAACGCTCAAAATACTTATAAACGCAGACACAAGTCGTATTGTTCGCGGCCAATCCACACAAAAAGATGTTATTGAGCGGTAATTTTGGAACGGACTGAATCGCGAACTTTTGAAAGCCATGAAAGCATTGAATGCCTTGTATGTCTTGTATCTAAGTATGCCAATGTCTTAGTTGAAAACGTTAACTCGTTGTAAAAAGCAAAATCTGAAATCTGAAACCAAACTGCATATACTCTATGCAATCTATTGAACAACACTACTACCGTGAGACTGAAGAACAAAATTTAAATGGATGCAAACTGCTTGTGAAGAAAAACGCCATGTTGGATTCACTTGATGCTAGGGAACGTAGCTACGATAACAGTGCGAATGGTATTAATTTCACGATCAGAATGGTGAATCTTATATTTTTTTCATTGTAGTTGTATGGATATTCTTTTTTAATAAATACATGTTCCAAAATCCCGTGTTTTTTGTGTATAATGTTATTATGTTAAGTATTGTTTACGCAATTGTCTTGTCACAGGCGACCCAAGGTCACGTCTCGAGAAAGAGTCAACGATTAATTCACGAACGCGTCACGCGTTGTGTGACTCAGAGTAAGTTATGCTGGGAACCGTTGAAAATTTGAACACGTTATAAGGAATAGTATAGAGAACGAAATATGGTCGATTTACAACGATAAATATTTCGAAATATGAAGATTTTTCTCGTAAAATCAATGAAACTTACTCATACCCTGTGTATCCGTTGTAGTTTCTGGCGATTGTTGCCGTTTTAAGCTTGCTTTACCATCACTATTATTCACGTCATCTACTTTTATTACATTGGTAAAATCTGTACAGACATCACACCAACCAACTATGTTGAAGGCTTGAAATTAAGATCGATTTTCATCAAGAAATGGGCCAGGAATTTTCCACAATAGTGCAAATAATCGTGAAGGCTGATCGCGGAAAAGCGATTGCGTGACGCTCGGTAAGCTGTAAGATGACGTGTTATTATATACCTGACGTAAAAACTCTTCAGATTCTCAGTCTGCATTTTGTACCCACTCTGCAGTCTATATTTTGTATCCGGTCTGCAGTCTGCTGTCTACATTTTGTACTAACAGGTATCCGTGGCACCAATACAGTTTATTTTTGGTTACATTTATTCGCACAACACACATAATCTACCACAAAATACCTGTGTGTGAGGTAATTCGACATTTTCATTCTTTCCCGCGTTAATAATCTTCTTTCCTTTTGTAAGAATGTAGACCACTTACAATGTTTCAAGTAATCCACCCACCCTACAAAAAATAACTCTTGCATGCATAGCATGCCTATGTTTTGAGACAGGTGTATGCCCTTGGCCAGACTTGAGCTCACTATTTCAGTATACAAGTCCGACACGCGTAGTATCACTACACTTCATTCCACGGATCCAGTACTATCCAGGTATCCCAGTTACCCTGCTCACAGGGTCTAGTTACCATTTTTATTGTTCTTGTTATTATTATTATTATTATTATTATTATTATTATTATTATTATTATTATTATTGCTACCATCATCATCATCATTATCTTAATCATTGTAATAAAATTATGGCCTGACTGTGAGGCCTAGGGGAATTTAACAGCTATTTATTTCTAACAGGTTGAGAGTTTACTCCTTTCTGAACTTTTCAAGGTGGAATGAAAATAAGTTATTGCAACTTCATCATGTGATATATGTTTAAAGCCCAAGTGAAAGTTTTAGTAAATGTATTAAATTCTGATTTATTTACATTTTGGGGAATTACAAAAAAAGGTTATTTAATAACATTACTTTCTTTAAAAAAAGACAAAAATTTATGTTAAGGTTGTGATTTATTACTATTTACTTAGCAATTTACTCATTGTTTGAACTTAATAAGTAAATGTGTAATCACTGTTCCTGTGTGCACTAAAAATTTGAAAGCAGTCAAAATGAGAGATATGTTCCTATACCTAACTGAATGGGAAGTGAGACTACTGCTTATAGCAAAAACACAAGCAGAGTTCAATCCATCAAAAATAATCTTTCATTTCAACATGATTACATGCCTGAAGCAAATCTTGGCCTTATATTGCAGTCTTACACCTTGAGACAGTAAATGACGTTAACACTTTTGTGACATTTTTTACAAAATATGTATGTGAGACAGAGGCAAATACTGTAAATTGTGAGTGAAGTTCTTAACTGATACTTGCTCAACGATCTTCTCGAATAACTTTACAATAAACATTACAAAAAATAATGGTTAGGATATTAACTTACAAAAAATTGAGTTTCTTAGCAAAAAGTAAAAATTTACAAAAGTGAATTTAGTGTCTTGCTGATACACTGTATGTACCTAAAATAATGTAAACTCCCTATTTGTGAGTGTCATCTCATCAACAAACCTGAAAACAAGAAATCAATGTTCAGTGGTTTGCTTGTTGAAGTGACTACAAACTTATTACAGCCTGTACAATGTGTACACATTTGTTCAACTATGGTTATTAGAGATTATAAAGATCAGGGCTCTCACAGGTAACTTGTGATTATCTCAAATCAGCTCAGTTTTCACCTTTGTGTAGTCTGACTGTATAGGTAAGGGTAGTCCTTAGAAGGACTGTTGTTGGTAGTTGCAACTGAAATTTTGATAACTTTGAAGGAAGTCATCATCAGAGTGGCAACAAAATGACAAAGTGTTGCTCTCTAGTTACAACAGTAGTCCTAGGGACTACATGATGAACTGTATGAATGATCAGACTTCACAATGAATTGTTCCCCCAAGGTTCGAGCCATTTATTGGATTATGTTTCCTGCTTTTAAAATATAAACAAAAAATACTACACCAATTATTTTGCTCTACTTATAGTGACTTTTTGCACATCTTTAGTTCATTATACTTTAAAACCCTTTGGGTGGCACCACTGCCTTTTGTGGGAGTAAATTATGTGCTCCATTTTTTTCTATCTGTTGGTTTTTTTGTTTTTATTTCCAGCTTTGTTGCATTTGTATTAGTTCTACCTTTTACCCCAGTTGCTATCTGTACACCAAATAGATGCCATAGTTAATAAGTATGTCTGAACCTTACCATCATTAACATATTAGTGGGGAAAAATTACGATGTACAAGTCAATTAGCCCACTCTGGCTTATCTGTGTTACAGTTGGGTGTACTTTCAATGGCATTGTGTAACTATGAATGTAATATGCCTACCTTGTCATTTCACTATTCACTCTGGGGTGATGTTCATTTTGTGTCCATGTTTCATGTTGTACCCCATCCTTCATCCAGTAACTGTAGTTTATATTTGTGGTTATTTGAGTGTGGTAAATTTCATTTGGTCCTGAAATTTAGATCAATTGAAGATAGCTGATCACTTCTGCTTCTGTCAGCTTTTAATAAGGAGTTAACATATTTATACATAATTTTGTCACACCTTTTACTTACTTTACACTGCTATCATGCCCTTTCAACTAACTAATCACCTGGTAAAGATGCCCACTACACCTATTCAGAAGAACCTCATCAAGAATGGAAGCTTTATCAGACCATGCAAGTAAAGGGTTCTTTTCCTCAAATGACAAAATTTAAAGACAACCATTATATTTAAGTGCATGATCCTGGAATTCTCCCTCTCTCACACCCTATTCAACTGGTCATATGAAAGCATCACCAATCAAAGCTTATGTCACAAACCATCAGTAGTTCAAAATCCAAAGAGCTCTCAGGCATTAGCTATGGAAGTATCATTTGAATCAGTTGGCATATCCAACGGTTTCTGTGAGGCTTCTGGTGGAATTTGGTGTTTTTTCAGACTGCTTTTCCAGACCAGGCGTGGAATTTTAAAGGGGATTTGATGAATTTCAACAATATCAGGTTAGGCAATCAAATAGCTCCAATTCCCACATGATAAAACGAAAATCATTGCCAGAGACATTGAAATGTATGATCCCCCTCTTCCTCCTAACCTCGCTCTCGGTTTGCATGCAAACACCTTAAGATTCCCCCGCCAATCAAAGCTAGATTCACAGACCATATCAAAGTCAAAATCCAAATAGCTCCAAGGAATCTTTATCAATAATACTTACTGACAAACACATTCCTCTATGAAAGTTCATGGCTCATAAAATGAGCCAGCAGATTTGTTTGGCCGTTACGATCACTAAGGGTGAGTTTTACGCTTATACAATTAAAAACATCAAGAAAACAATGTGACAAAACATTCGGTAAACGATACAGGTAGCTTGACAGGCGTTTGGCATGAAAAAAAATATCGGAAGAATGATTACAATGAAACAAAACTCAAATGGATTCAATTGTAAAAAAGGGTCTCACCGAGTCTTGGTCGGATGTGTTTGTTTAGGCGTTTAGTGTACTTCACGTAGGACCCGTTTGCTTCCGAGTTCGGGTAAACCGGCTCGCTAAGCGTGGTTCTTTGCACCCCACTGGTAGAAGCCGCGGTTCCTGGCTGCCCACCAGGTGCTGGTACTGTTCCTGGTCTAGTAACAGCAGTCTTTATTGGATCTTGGACACCCAAACGCGTCAAATTGAAGAACGACATCGTCAACTTGGTGCAACAAAGGCTGCCTTGTCCACAGCTGATATTTTACTCCTGTTGTCGTTGCCGTGGTAATAAACCTCGTTTCAAGGGACAACCTCATTTTCGTGTTAGAGGACTGGGCATTAGCTCGGGTAACATGGCTGACCAACATGAGATTCTGCAGAAGATTTTGTCAAAATTCCCGTCTGGAGTTTCTTTGGCTTTTGCTTACGGTTCTGGAGTATTCACTCAGAAAGGGAATACCTCTCCAAGTAATATGTTAGACTTTGTATTTGTTGTTGAAAATGTGCGTAAATGGCACGAAGACAACATGTACATGAGATATCATCCACATCACTATTCATTCGTTCGGTCGTTTGGTTCACGTGCCATAGTTTCGTTACAAGATAAGTTCGGCGCAGGTCTGTACTATAATACTCTGGTACCAATGGAGGGAAGAATGATAAAGTATGGAACAATAAGCCGCGATAACTTTTTTCTGGACCTAAACGAGTGGCAGTGGTTGTATTTGGCAGGACGCTTGCATAAACCAGTTCGTTTTGTATTTCGACCTCATGACGAAGATATTTCATCAGCTTTGAAAGCAAATTTAAATAGTGCTGTCACCGCAGCGCTCCTTTGTCTTCCAGAGCACTTTACAGAGGAAGAATTATTCCTAAGTATTGCAGGTTTGTCTTTCAGTGGGGACTTCAGAATGGTTGTTGGAGAAGACAGGAGTAAAATACAGAACATTGTTGGTTCAAATTTAGAACATTTTCAAGAACTTTATCGACCAATCTTATCTAACTGTAGTCAACTTCATTTCAATTCTACATCCTGCAAATATCACCAGAATCAAGATTGCGATGTAGTACTTTCTCGACTTATGTCTTTACCCAAAAATTTACAGAAACACATAGCGCAAGCTGTCGAAGGGAAAAGTTTCAAACAGTCATCAATTGAAAATGTGTTAATCAAGGTCTCACAAGAAAGACTCAACTGCCCACGGACGGTCAAAAAAGGGTTGACTTCCATTGTCAAAAGATCAAGCGTTACACAAAGTCTAAAAGGAATCCTAACTGCTGGGGGTCGGAAGACATTGATTTACAGCGCACAAAAGCTTACGAAGATGCTTAAAGGATTTTGGCTAAAATGAAATTTGATATTTTCACAGACCACTGCTGATTCTTTCTTAAAAGCTACCGGTAGTTTAAGAAAAAAAATTTTTCATTTTTAGTCTTCGTCTCGTGCAGAACAAGAGTTAATCTTCTTTGACTTACAGGGACAACAACCTCTCCCGGAGATTCAGTCTCCGAGGTCTTTACATGGCATAGGTCACGGTATCTCGATAATTTTGTGCAATTTTGGTCCTTTTTTACACTAAATGAGGGGAAATTTAAAGAGGAACAACTGTTTTCCAGAAACATGGTACTCTTGAGTTCTGAGCATTAAGAATGACCGTTTTACTCATATTGTGAGGACAAACTTGAAATATCACAATCTTTAATACGACGACTTTTTCCAACAATCTGCATAACCCTTTCCAATTCTCCCCAACCCTCATTTCCTCTGGGCTGCCAAGTTTCCGTGTTTGTTTTCAACGGTTTTAATGATGTAACCGTAAAGCCCTTAACTTCCAACGGTACCTTCTATTTGTCAGGTTTCACTTCAGTAGTTACTGCGAAAATAGGAATTACTTATGTCAGAAATAAAAAAACTTGCATTAATAGATTGTGATCTATTTCGTCGTTACGCTAAGTTCGAAAACAACGATCCAAACTTCGAGAAATCCCTCCTGCCTTGACCCCTTGATACTACAAGTGGTGATATTACATCGTTAATTACTTTAGAGTTGTTTTCACAGTTTACTGAAGAACGTAACCTTAACCTTGCGAAATTCCCCCTTTGTACGTTTTATGCATGTTTGCTTCTAATGTATTATAATACATGATGTGTTTGCGTCGTGTACTTTCCAGGCCTGGGTTGTTCAAAGCTGAGTTTAGATAACACAGGGTTAGTCTGAAATTTGATTTCAGGTCTGAAAGCTTTAAAGAAAATGCAGTTCAAATCTTTTTTCATGCAATTTGATCAAATTGTCTGTCTCTCAAAAAGGCTTTTGAACAAAGGAATAAAGAAACCTGGATTAAAATCTACCCCTGCGTCAGCGCTAATCGGCCTTCGAACAATGACAACAAACTGAGTTTGTTGTTATTTACCTTTTAGTTTTATTTACTTTATTTTTTATTTATTTTTTTGAGGTGGGGGGGGGGGGGAAGGAGGGCATGAAAAGAAAGAAATAGAGGGTGTGATATTTTGTATATTTCATCCGTCGAAGAAACAAAGAAAATCACCGTTGATAAAAAGCCAGAAGGATATCGCTTCCGTGAGCCGAAACTAGTTTGTAATGCTTATCTTGAACAGTAATTAGAGCGGATTAATAATCGTGCTTTCATGTTTCTTACAATAGGACGTAAAGCAATTCTAAAGAACCAATCTTAAAGTACAAGTAAACTGGATACATCTAAATACATGAATAAGTAAGTGATCAGCGACAAATCAGGTTTTTTCAAGTCCTATTACGGAACTGATTGGTTCTTCTCAAAACTGATCACGCTGAGCATAGTAGACAGAATAGCTTTAGTGGTCGCTTTTAACATGATGTCACCTTTGATATTCATCGTTTAGAATTTGGAAATTTGATAAATTTCGTAACTTGCTGTTTTGAAAGACTTCGGAAAGGATAGGCGTCGAAATGCAGAGGGCACAAAAGTAAGACATATGCTGCGGGCTAGTTTTCATTAAAATTCTTTCTTAAAATGCAGGGGCACTCTGCAGATACTGAATTCTTTGATGCCTAAATATTCAAAGTTCACGATTTGACGGTCTCTTCTGCCGGACTAAAATTAACCAGCAATAGAGGGCAAGGGCAAGGGCAAGGGCAAGGGCAAGGGCAAGGGCAAGGGCAAGGGCAAGGGCAAGGGCAAGGGCAAGGGCAAGGGCAAGGGCAAGGGCAAGGGCAAGGGCAAGGGCAAGGGCAAGGGCAAGGGCAAGGGCAAGGGCAAGGGCAAGGGCAAGGGCAAGGGCAAGGGCAAGGGAAAATCCCAAGGAATGTTGCTTTTTGTTCTTCCGACGAACACAGGGGAGCAAACGTAAGGGGCCACAGAAGTCTTGGACGTGCTCTCGTTGCACTGATCTGGTTATCTGTACTGAAGTAATTCAGTAAACCATAGACTACAACGGCACTAAGGTTATAATCAGAGTTAGGGTTCTGAAGTATTTGGATGTGTATGGCCTACAAGACAAGTGGAAGGATTCCCCTAAAGAACCAATCTTCAAGTACAAGTAATCTAGATACGTGGCCATACATGGATTAGCAAATGATCAGCGAAAGTTAGGTTTTTTTAGTTTTACTGTGGAGAGTGATTATTTTCTCTCTTAACGATCACAGAAAGCATTGAAAGTAGATAGTTGCAGTTGGGTTACAGAATTTAATTAGTCAATGGTTGTTATTTAATCGTGCATCTGAAATGTAAGTTAAACAGAGCTATTGGAAAATAGTTTAACAAAACTTACCCTGGATTTTTTATTAATAATTAAGGTGACCCAAAGTCGTGGTACCACTAACAGGGTTTTTAAACATAAAACTGAAGCCGAACGAAGGGATCCCAATCAATAAGGACAAAAGGTCCATTTCAGTATCAATGGGTCAGCATGGCCAGTGGAACCATTGACTTATGAAGCAAAATGTACATGAAAACGGCTTCAACCGAGGAAAAAATTAGCTACTGAGATGCGATTGGATGTAAGTTATGCATCTTACTAGTTCCTTGTCGAGGTTTCAAGACTGATTACACGGATAGTAAAGCAAAACCAAAGCAATCCTGGAATACTTTCCGCACTCGGTTGCACTTAAAATTACCCCACATCATTTAGGTCTTGGAATTAAATCTCTTTTGACTTCTTTAGGAGATGCTGCAGACACATACAGAGCTACGATTTTGGTTTTGTCCAGTGGACATCTGAACATAAAGACATTGTCCATGTCTCCACGCACTTTCCCTCCAAATATGGTTAGCTTGTTCCACTTCTGTGAGAGTACACCGCTGATTCCATCTTCTTTGCTTACTTGCTTGCCGTCCACCCAGAGTGACGCAGTCCTTGATATGGAGTCGAAGCTGCCCACAATGTTATGCCATTTTTCAGCAGTTACATCTGGAGTGCTGGACTGGATACGAAACAACTCCCTACCCGAGTCCCCTCTATGCACCCATTCTCCTCTGCCATTGCGCAGTTGTAGGCCATAACGAACAAAGTTTCTTTCATCGGTGGCTGTGATAAGAGGAATAACTCCCTGAACGTTTTTTAGCTTGACCCACAGTGAGATCGCGATGGACTTCTTTGGTTTTCCCTTGAAACCAGGTTTAAGAACAATTTTTCCATTGTTCCCAAAATCAACAGACCGTCCCTGGTCGGCATGGTCTTTTAAAACTTGAGCCTCGCCTTGTAGCCGACCATTGTTCTTCTGTAGTGAGTCGTCGAACACCAAGTCACCGTTTGACTTTTCGAACGTCAGTTTAAGTACCATGCATTTCTGATCAAATTCTGTGGGATTTCCGAGGCCTGGGGGAAGAAATAGTCCGACCTCTAAGGACAAAATTACACTTAAATTTGTTTCTTTTGTTGTTGAGTCAATTATTCATTTGAAAATTTAATGAAAATTCGTTAGAGTTTATGAATTCCCTTTTCCATTATCATTATTGTGTACCCATCTTATCTTCAATATACAAATTTAATTATGAAATGACGGCAAGGTGAATTACGAGATGGTTCCTCAAAATAATCAGATGGTAATCTAGGATTCATTTCATGTTTTATTTTTGTGGGGGAATATGATTCAAGAGTACTTGTTTGCATTGTTTTCTTTTACGTGAACCGACTGGTTAGATTTCTTACAATGTTGTGAGAAGTCTTTGAACTTTGAGTAAGGAAAACACTGCAATATTAGTGGTATCGAGACATATCACGCTTTTATGGTAAAGCGAGATGACATTTAATTGTTTCTCTCTCTCCTATTAGAGAAATTTAAACTAAGTGTCGAAAGAAATCCTAGATTGTGTTGTTTTTGCTTCACTTCGCTCTCTGACTGCCTCAGAAACGTTTCAATGCTTTAACCGACTAAGTTGAAAGCTATAACCCAACCCGATCAGTCACTCGCTTTTTCCCGCGCTTCAAGCACTTTTTCTTTTCACTTTGTGTTCTAATTGGCTTCTTGTGATATTTCCTTTCTTCTGATTCGCCTCTATGATAACTTTGATTTTGGCTTCCCAACACTCGGTCAAAAAGTGCTCCATGACCCACTTAAATACATAACGATGTTTGATCTGTGATATTTGTCAGTTCCTTTCATGAGTTTCAACATCAAAGAGCGGATCAAGCTTCGAAATTGCGTCCTTCATATTGCATAGATAATACCTGCCAGGCACTTTTACACTCAAATGCAGTTACACAGATTAGATTTCACGTACGGGTAGCTCGTATGTTCTTTAAACACTTAAGCGGGAAAGGAATGGTCTCCGCGCGTGACACCCACGTGAGCAAACTTCGCGATATATAATTGGTTACACTAGATTTCCTAGGTTCTAAAAAAGCGGGAATAGTTAAAATATTACCTGAGATGGTTATCTCATTCTCAGAGTCAATGGAATGGGAACATGAGAAACCTTGTCCTTGGTAACGAGGCTGGTAAATATAGATGTTTAGTCTCTCAGCACAATCCTTTCTTGTAAAATAAAAAAATTGCATCCCAAAGAGCAATTTTCAATTGAGTACCGATAGAAAAGCCGGAATGCATTGGTTTTGCTTTAGCTCGCATTGTGATTGGTCCAGAAACTCGTGCCACACTCGCGACAAATCAGATACGAAACTAGTCCAATCGCATCTCAGTCATTTACGTTTTTCCGTGCATCAGATAGTTTGCTTATTTTCAGAGTGATTTCTAATTGGCTCCTTAACTTGTAATATTTAATCTTTGGTTTTAAGACACTCAATCGAAAATCGCTCAAACCGAAGCAGCCTTACTTACTATTTATCTCATCGGAGGGGTCTGGTGTAGACTGGGTCCCAGTTGGCGTGAATGTTCGAGGAACCTGTGTATTACCGACATTTTGCGGTACTTGCAGAATTCTAGCTAACCTGCTCTGACTTGGTGTCCGTGAGGCCTGGGCTCTACGAAAAGGAGGTACTTGATTTGCCCGGCCTTCAAGCATGCGGCTTCCCTCGACACCTGCTCCTGATGGACCTGGGAACCAGACTCCACCTTGAGCACCAATAGCAGCGGACAAAGGGTTCGTAGGTCTTGGATTGAAGAATGGGAAGTTCATATCGTTGGTATCGAAGGTTCTGCGATAGAGCTGATTCTGAACATAGTGCTCAATCTCCGAGTCGATATCCTTCGCTATCTTTATCGCTTGTTTCTTTGCCGCATACAGTCGGGCTAATTCGGGGCTCATTATTGTTGATCGTGGGACAGGCCTGGGGACAGGTCTCGGGACTTCTGAGCGGAGAACGTAAGGCAGATAGTACTGAGGAATGACCTGACCCCCAAGATACTGTATGGACAGACATGGTACAAGGCAACAGAACAGAGCAAGGATTTGTAAGTCTGTCATGGATATATTCGACGGGACTGTAAAGTGTAAAGAAATAAAATAAGGGTGGGATGTAAACGAACACTGCATACGCCTAGATTAAGCGCCCTTTATAAATATGACAAAGTTCTTTAATAGAAATGAAGACAAATTTGAGGCAACCTGTTATAGTAAATTAACTGAAAATGTCGCAAAAAAGGGGATTAGGTTAAGATCCATCATGTATTAAACTCCTAAAAGTTATAGAGGTAACACGATTTGCCTAAGTAGGTTGTAGGTTAAGTCCAAATGTAAAAATATTTTTTACAATGTAGGATTACCAGGGAAGTATTAAATATAAGACGATAGAAAGTATCGGTTCTGTTTACTTATTGTGGAAATAACGAGGAAAAAAATTGACAGGATGAACTCCAAATGTTTTGACTATCAGAGAAAACAGTCAATTAGCTAATTAAGTAATGAAAATACAACAACTGGTACTTTAGGAGCATCTCACGGATGTGGAGATAAGTAATTACAACCTAAAACTGGTTTCTTTATACATTCACAGCTTGAGCGCGCATAACTCAAATCTTTTCATCACGTCTTGCGTTTCCTAGGTTCACTAAAGTGTCCCTTACCTTACGAAAGATGACTCGTTGAATATCGCTGAATAAATACGCTCCAGATAATTTCTGCAGTCCTTTTGCTGGGGTTCTCTTAAATGCCGTTGACTAAACGATTGAAAACGCAAAAAAAATATTAACTTACTGGTGATTTAAACATTTAGCCTTAAACTTTAGGCCAACCCTTTACTGTGCGATCATATCTTAACCATAACAGGTAAGTTTTCAGGGTTGGATGATCCTCTAAATTATTCAAAACGGTTTAAAGTCTGTTGAACCGAAATAGCGGTATTCCTAAGAAAAAATAAGGTCACAGATACAATCAAACCCTAAAATTATCGCAAAGTCAGACTTGTCATCGTTATTCTGGTGCATGAAAGAAGACAATTGAACTCCAGCTCCACAAAGAACATCACTTAGGAGGAAACGATCACCTCTCGTCGGTTATTCATGTGGGTTAGAGGAACTTCTTGGAGAATTGTGCGAGGAAATGACTTTTACAACTTACCTGCTGTTTACGCTGAATGTTGTACTTCATCTCTAATCTACGTTAGGTGATTTTTTTTTTAATCGCTCTCCATCTGTCAAATAAGGCATGCAAATGAAATTCGTCGGCAAATGATCGCAATTCGTTCATTCCGACTCCACAGCTACTTCTGATCATTTTGAACGGAAGGAAAAATCAGAGGGTCTTTTCTTTTTATTTTCCAGGCCTGATAGTCCGATGAATGGCAGTCAGAGAAATCACCCAAAGACCAATTTTCTTTAAGTTTTTACTTGTGAAGAGTTTCAACTTCCGCGATTCCTTCGAGATTGGCTTCTTCGGTCGGTGCCACTGCGAGAAAAGAAATCGAAGAACTGCAGTGGTAACATTACATTACAGAATTTCAAAAACTACAGTCGGTTCAAGTCCCTATTTGCACGGCCGAAGAACATAGGCATAATGAAGTAATCAAACCCGCTCAGATATCTTTCAATGCAACACAATTACAGGCTGTAATGATTGTTCTCCTTGCTAAGCGAGAATTACGGTCGTTTCGCCTACGGGTCGTTTCGCCTACGGGTCGTTTCGCCTACGGTCTGTTCGCCTACGGTTAGAGTCGATTCGCCTACGTCTCATATGTCAGTTCGCCTACGTGTTAAAACATGTGTTACAACAGTTGATTCATCTACTTTATGTGCGATCGCGCTCGGATCCTAGTCGGTCGATTCAATTCCTAGAGCGTGACTCATAAAGTCAAGCCTATCGAAGTTAAAATAATTGTAAATAAGGAGCGTTCGTTTACCTGAAAATTTCCGTTTTAATTTTATTCATCTTCGTTCGAGTAAAAACAAGTTATGTAAATATCGCATATTCTGAGTTGCGAATTACACGGTTCTCCTATTACATTTAGTAACCATGAAGCGTACTCATTTCGCGACATTTTAATTCTAATACACTTATTACATGCGGGGACGTTTAGGTTATCCGAGTGACACCTGCCCCTTAAACAACAGATCATTCGCGTTTAATTCCACAGGGCGCAGAGGAGTTCATTGTGACGGTAGGCGAGGCGAAAAGTTTACCGAGCCGATCGTACGATTCGCCTGTGTTAACTGTATAATCGACAATCAAACCGTCAGCGATCATAAAATTTAACTACAAAATATGTTACTCCTCCGCATTCTGTGTTAATTCTAATACACTTATTACATGCGGGAACGTGTGGGTTGTCCTAGTGACACCCGCCCCTTGATAAAATAATTCACATGTAACCCTTGCTATCTATTTCGCCTTAAGTTCGAAATTCCAGCCTTATTCTACCTAAACTTAGCTACCCTAAATTAATGTGCAACTTAACCTAAAGGAAAGCCAACCGAAGAAAACTTAGCCTAATTTTCATACTTGACAATCTTGAAATCATAAACTTAACCGGCTTGTTTTAACTAAACTCGACTTAACTTCGATGCTTATCGACTTTGCGATCATAAGTTCTACCTAAATTAATGTGTAACTTAGCCTAAACTTAGCCTTAACTATTACACTTCTGACGTTTCTGTTTAGATTATCAAAGTTCTCTATTTCAGTCTTACTGGCAACGAGCAAGTCCATTCAACCGGCTTATTTTAACTAAACTCGACTTAACTTAACTTCGATGCTTATCGACTTTGCGATCATAAGTTCTACCTAAATTAATGTGTAACTTAACCTAAACTTAACCTTAACTATTAAACTTCTGACGTTTCTGTTAAAAATATCAAAGTTCTCTATTTTAGTCTTACTGGCAACGAGCAAGTCCATTCAAGTGGGAACAGCAGCGGAGTAATCGTGAAGCACTCTTATTGCCTGTCTGGTACTGCTCCCAGGCGTCGAATAGTTTCTGGTGGAGTTGCCTGTACTTCCTTCTCTGTATTCTCTTCAACTTCTTGTCTGAAACAAGCTTGATTGTTATTGACGTCAAGCGGGCTTCTCGATGAAGAAGTTCGATTAAGAGGTAAAACTGTAATCTGCATTGGCCACCAGCTCGGCGGTTCAGGGCGTTGTGCCACCCCTCTATATGCTTGGCTCGGCTGCTTGAAGACACTCCAATCTTTTGGGGTGAAGATGGTGCTCTCAATCCACTGCTCCTAGATGTAGTCAGTAAGATTGCGGAGGGGCTGGGTCTGTGCCAGAACGCTGAGGCGCACGAACATCGGTCTGATCTCGTAGTGAGGGAGGAACGGGAGGGCCATTAGTTTCCTGATGAACCGGTACGTTGCTTCATCGTTACTGTATGCAGTTTGGAGGCCAAGCTCTTGCAACTGGCGTAGACAAAAAGTTAAAATTTTTGACTTTAAGGAAAACGTACGACTAACGAACGGACTGCTAAAGCTGATGATACACGGGTTGACAGTTTATCCTAACGCTATAACGGTTGACGCTTACGTTCTAACAGTTGTATATATTTGTTTCATAAAAAAGGCTAAAGCTGTGAAATCACAATTTGTTTAATAAACTTTAATAATCAGTTTATTGCCTTTTATTCACCTTTTTTTTCGGCAGCGAAAAAAGAGTGCTTGACATGAACTAACCTTTCTCCAAAGAGCCTGGGTCCAGTGGAACACGCAGCCCTGAAGCTGCACTGCTGGCAGGACGGATCTAAGCGCCTTCCAGACAGCCCTTTCAAAGTCTAGGGTGACCTGCTGGACACTGGTCTGAATTGGCAGGATGCGGATTATTTTCTTCATTACCTAATTTTGTGAAGAGAAAAAGAAATGATGTTATACATGCCAGAAATTTTATTGCACTATGCTTTAGGATACATATATAACTCTAAATAGATAATTACCCTTTTTTAGTCTTTCGTACTCTTCCCGGACATGAGGATGAACACCAGTGGTACTTGTTTTGCGTGATCGCCAGAGCGAACGAAGGCATTAATCGTTACCAGCTGCTGGAAAGGTTTGCGCACAAGTTTGAAAGTACCATCAAGATACCAAGACTTGGCTTTTGCGAGGGTCGTAAGTTGTTCGTCTGTAGCGAAGATGAGATGTCTTCTTTCCTTGACGTAAACTTCTGCCTGGAAGAACCCTTGCGGAATGCAGTCTTCCATTATTTCGAAGTCGAGGTCCTTTGGATCCTCCGGGCGAAGTCTCTGCCGTAAACGGTTCGCAGCTCGAGCAATATGCTCCGGCTTAGAGAGTGCTGGACAACCCGCGTTCAGTTCATTCAACAAGACCTTAAAAAAAAAAGGAAAATAAAAAACGTTACTTAACAATTATCAAGTGGACCGTCTTTCAGCTATTTTTCTCAAAAATGAAAAGTCTTTGAAAAGTTTATGTAGAATGTTTTAAATTGTCAAATATTTACGACAGAGAAAATTAGGTATTAGAAAACTTCGGATTCGGAAATTTCCCATTAGCTGAGTTCAATTGTAAGTCAGTAAGGTGCAATTTAAATACCTCTTCCACTATTGCTGAAGCCGGCTTGAACTTATCCTCCAGAGCCTTCTCTTTTACCAACTTTACGATTTTGGCTGCTGTCACTGCCCCTGGTTCTGAAGAATGGTTATGGGCGTTGGCCCCCGCTTGAAAAGTTCCGTCCCGTTGGATTACCGTAGCCTTGCAAGCATTTCCTCGAAGACGAACCGTGCATTGCCAATACGTTGCGTAAGACCGTTTGGACCTGACGTTGTAGCCGTATCCCAAGCTATCCACTAGTTTCGTTTTGCCACGCTTACTCCCTTCTTCTACTAGCTGGAATGCTAAGTGATTGTTTGGGTTGGCCGTGTCAGTGTCGTCTCCCAGGAGAGGCTCTTCGATGGAAGATTCGATGATGCCGGGACTTGGCTCTAAGGGAAAAATGATAGTCCAAGGTTATACAATGTAGGTCATCAGTTCATCAGTTGTCAAGTAGTATTGTCTATTTTGTTTAACTTCAGAGTTGACTAATAGGTAAAACTAGCGTTTCTAGTAAACACTTAGTATATCTTTGGGGCCACTTTGGGAAAAACACAAAACTGTGTGTATATAATATATATAGTTAGTATATAATATAATATATAATAATATATATATATATACAATATATATATATATATATATATATATATATATATATATATATATATATAGTTACCTTCCTCAATCCTTGTATCCGATGGAGGGCTTGGCGGGGCGGAGAACATAGTCACTTCCATGACTGTTCCGAGGTCTGATAGCGATGAAACGGGTAAAGACAACTCTGGTAGAACAGAAGGCGTACTCGAGTCTGTTGGTTTTAAGCACATATATTAGCTATTAGTTACTTCAATGATTAAATCATTCAATATAGCGCATGAAATATTTTTGCCTTAAAATTACACAGTGCTGGAAATCAACCTTAAGAGATAACAAAAAATTATATACCTGTATTGATCATCGAACTAGCAGCAACCGGTACTGGTGTCTCGTCTGTGCAATAGATGCAAGTCCATAAAATGTCCTGGCCGGTCCTTACTGCCTGTCGATATGTGGCTCGGTCAACGCCACTGTGACAACGACGGTGTTGCCATCTGTCGCATCCGCCGCAGAGTAGGGCCTCTTGGCGGGAGGTTACGATTTCAGCACAAAAGATACAGTAAAATTCCTCCATGATATCGATGGTGGCATGAGAATAAAATACTAGGGCTTTTATACTGTCAATGCCTTCTCCGATGGATCGAAATCGCAGCGTTGTGATTGGTGAATGCTAATATTATTTTGTAATCCTGTGCTAATCGATCTATGTTAAACAATGTCCTTTGGAATTGATTGTGTTAATGGGAAAAGTCCCACCTTCTTTTGTGTAGGTTGTTACTTTAATATAAACCGAACAGACCGTGGGCGAAACGACCCGTAGGCGAAACGACCGGATACCCTAAGCGAACACTTTCCATTCCTTTTTTTTCATTCATCGTTACTGCAGTTGTCGTTTTGATTTTCCCTTGGATTTATTTTTCTCCAAATTGACTTAAAGCACAAGGCATCATACGTCAATAGACTTTCTGCCTAACAGGGTGATGGGTCAATGTTTCTGTGGGAGATCAACAGACAAGTAGGCAATCGTGACTACGTTTGTTTGGATATCTTATGAATAATTTCTTTGAAACATTTCTCGCCTTGAAAATAAGAAATTATCCAAATTTATTTCCTTCATAATGAGTGTCATGTACATTAACAGATGGCTTTAATTCTGAAGTTTAGTCTATATACAACACGCGGGCAGTTTTACAATGGACATTCTGGACGTCAGTCTGCTTGTCTCACAACTAACGTCCATTTTGAACACCAAGCGATGATGGCTTGACCAGGGAATTGTATTTCTGTTCTTTTTAGAGAAGCATTTCCTTGTACAAGACAAGTGTCCATTGCTCTAGGGTGAACACAGCTGATAATCTTCACTCTGCTTCATAGTTCTGTTCTGAGGCTGCTGCATTGACTGCTGCAGCTAAATCTTCTCCTTGCTGTAACCGATCTCCTAATGGACCAAAACCATTCAACGACTTGTATCAAAAGTCTTTCCATCTTAGAAGCAGTGGCTTCAATACTTAAAGAACTTGCTTTAGCACACAGCTCCGATACGTTTCCCCATAAGTCCGAAAAATTGAAAAAGGCCCCCTCTAATGCCCAAAGCATCCAGCCCTTCCCCTAAAAAGATTGCCCTATGGAAACAACACAAACAGTACCACAGAGAGGCTAAAGGGTTTTATATGAAATGTACAAGTTCTATCGTAATTTCCAAGGGGCAAAAACCTTTTTAAAACAATATACAAGGGTTCTATCCCTTACCTGAGTGAGTTAAACTGAAGCACAGGTAGATTCACAGATAAAATTGTGATGGGGGAACACGGGAATTTGAGAGAAAAAGAAAGAACCAAGGGCACAGATTGGGTCTGCCCACAGAAAAGGACCTTCATATTCTTGTGGCAGTTTATTGTTCCACAATATCTTTCCTTAAGCTCTCCAATGGTAAAAATAAAATACACCATTGTTTGCAAGTTACCGGTATGCATAAATGTCATCCATTGACTAGAGGTTGTTAATTTACATCCCTTAATCCAAATGTGGAGACTCCAATACTCACTTATAAGTTCAACTATTGCTCTCTGTGTCCTTTTCTCTAACTTTTCAAGTTTCTTTGCAACATCTCGTTTTAAATCCCTAAAAAAATTGCTGTAGTTAGAACTATGGTAATCCAACTTTTGAAAGAGTGGTAAACAAGTACATCACTTGAGAACACCTAAATAGGTATATATAACTTTCTAAATCAATAAATGTTATTGCTAGTTGCAGGACTTAGATGACAATTTTTTTAAACACTGTACATTGTGCAAAAAATGCTGTCAAAACATTGCAATCCAAATATGTTCAGGAGCAATTGTGTCTTAAGGAAAACTTTGCCATGATGAATTTCAAAAATCTTTCAAATATAGATCACATCTTAATATAAAGCAAAAGATGCAGTCTTGAAGTTCCCCTACATAGCAGACCAGGGATCAATGATTTTTGACAATTGTTATTATCTGAATTCCAAAACACAAAAGTTCATCAAGATCACTCAGAGTAATACAACAAAATGTTTTCCCTTGTTTTCTTTAACAAGTATTCATCACCTAGTTGGCTGATTTTGGTTTTTTGCCAGGAGTTTCAAATTCATTTTGGGCGAGTTTGTTAAAATACTACAGAGGAAACGCATCAAAGAGCCATATTCAGGTCTTAAAACTAAACAAAAAGGAAAAAACAAAACAAAAAAATCAGAGCTAACCAGTCAGGCTTTCTTGGTGCCAAGTTGGCCAGGTCCTGTAAAATAAGCAAAAAAAAAGATAGTTGTTGAATATTTTTACAAGGAAATGCTTGCCATTTTACATTTTATATAGAGAAGTAAACATTCAAATCAGCATTCTCCTTATCATTTGTAGGGCTAGTGTTGCAAATTGTAGTTAGTAAATTTTCCTTCTCCTTGTTTTTGAAACTTACCTGTTGGGTGAAGTTTGATTCAAATTTTCTCTATCCTCCATCCCAAAAATAAGCCATAAACAACTGATAAATTAACCTCCCATACTTCTTGATCTCAGGGTGACAGATAGTAAAGGATCAATATTACAAATGTACATGTTGAAGGAACATAACAAGTACACTGCCCTTTAAATCTCAAGACATGTGTTCAGTCTATGTTAAGCTGTGGTTTTCCTTACCACTTCTTCTATAACTTTGTCAGCCTTTGCTTTCTCAAGGTGCTCTTGCACTTCATCTTCAACTGTGAGATAAAATAAGAGCCCAAGACACAAATATCAAATGAGTTCTAAAAAGGAGCTGTATCAGTATTGCCACAATAAAAAAATACAAATGACTTGAAGAAAGCAAAAGAATTCTGATATCAAACAGTTGAAAGAAGAAAATACAAAGGCTTATACTTTGCTTTGAGTCTGACAAGTCAGTTTTGTATTGACCAATCACAATAATGTTCAGGACACATAAGAAAATCACTAAACCACAAACCTATTACCATTTTCATTTGTGGCTTAGTTTTCTGATGCCCAATTGGGTTTTTCCTTTGAGCACAAAAGCATTCATTATTATTTCTGATGTTTACAGTTTCTGAATTTTGCCATTTTGAACCCAGAAAAAATAAAAATAGAATGGTACCAATGAAGAAGATTATCACAGATTGTAGTCACAATCTTGTAAATTTTAGGCTAAATTATTCTCAATGAACAAACAATCATACAGTTTTTTAACGCACTTAATTCCCCCCAGCTACATTTTCTTAGACAATCCCTTAAAAATACATGCAACAATAATTTTTCAGGTCAACTGGCTGACAAATCAAGACCAATTAGATAAAGCATCACCAGGATACAATTGCCACATGTCAATATTCATTTATCCATTTAATACTTGGAAAATATCTGACACAGAAATTTCTGATCAAGGAGGAAAGAGACCAGAAACACCACACACAGCTAAAATAGTAGAAACACACCTGAAAGAGGTTTTGTATTTGGTATTTTCTTTTCTTTCAAGGTCTCATCACGAGGCAGATAGTTTCTAAACTTAATCAACCTAGTTGGAGGTCTATAAAAGAGTTAACAAGAACTAAGATAATCAAACTGTTATTTTCTCGGTTCCATGTCAAATCTTACAACTTTATTCATTACGAAATCATTATAATTTATACAGAGTGCGAAGCTCATGCTTATGTTAATTGCATAGTTGTGCATGCTGTGCAAGTGCAAAGGTGACAATTACATAGTGTAACAAAACAGTGATGTAAGACCTAAAAAAGAGTGCTAGAAAAAGAAAAATATGCGTAATGATATATAATGAAATCACTGTTTTTAGATTCAAAATGAAATGGAATTTTAAATAATGAAACAAGAAAGAAAAAACTCGATCACTGTCATTCCTTCTTTAGCCCTCCCTATACCTGACTTCTTTACATCAACAGCACAAGAGAAGAGTTGACCAAAGTTACTAAGGATTTTTGTATACTGAATAGTTCAGATTTAATATAACTCTTCAGGCAGTTTGAAAACCAGTATCATTCGCTCAGTTCTATTGATTATTTGAATAAATTCTTCTGGGTATTACGGTTTACGAGAAAGAGACAAAAATTGTATGATAACATCTTTCCCGAAGCTCTCCTAGACGAGACAATCAACAAGGACGCCTGATCTACAAAAGTACTCACATGAGTTGAGATGACTCTTCCAGAGATCGCTTCTCTCCTCTCGTGGAGTCGCTATCGGTAGAAGTCTGTTGTGAGGAATAGTACAAATTAAACCGCCGTATTTGCTTTTAGTGTGAAATTCAGACTCGTAAAATGTAAAATCTTAAGTCTTAGATCCGTTACTGTAGATGAATGAGGGATAACAATTTGTGATAGTTGTTTAATTCATACTGAGAAGAGAAATATTAGAAAAAATAAAACTTTCATAATGTATCAAGCACCTGCTGCTCCGGTAATCCACTTTTGATTCGCATGGCTTTTAACCGCTCTCTTCGCCTGAGAGCTTCTTCCTCCAGGCTGCCCTCTACAGCCGCCATATTGACTTTTGAAAACCCACAAAGTCTTATGGGATTCACCAGAGCTTCATGGGAAATATTTTGGCCGGTCAAAATATGGCGGATGTCTGGTAACCAAAACACATTAAAATTAAGAACATAATTCCCTCCTACAAGTAATATTTATTCTAAAAAGATTTACGAGTTAGTTGCAGAAGACATACAAAATGGCTTCAAGTGATACAGTTACTCTGGTAAGTATAGCTGCGGGAAGGTGACTTGAAAACAACAATTTGACTGAAGCGTATATCTTGTTGCCACGGTTGCCATAAGCTTATTTAGTTGGAATAAACGGCAAATGTATTTTTTTTAAACTTGGTTTTATTTTAAAGGCTTATATTAACTACTACTGTCGCGAGAAATACTACAGACATCTGCAGAATTCGTGTCTGGAGAGCTTGAAGAAGTATGGCAACGATCCAGTATTGATATTTTGGAAGGCGTTTGGAGTTTTAATGGAAGGTGTGACTAATTAGTGACTTATATGATAACATACATGGTCTATAATTGTCTCAGCCTTTATGAATTGGCTGTATTTTCCTTGTGTGTAAATTAAGTTTTTTTCGTCATTTAAGGAAGGAGACATCAATCATGCCTGCTGATTTTAATATTCAGAATTTAGGAAGATAATCAAATTTAAAGTGTTCCTTTTTTAAAGGTTATTTTTTGAAAAATAACCTGTCTGCTTAGCAGTGTGCCAGTACTAGGTCATAGGTTGTCACATTACTTCAATCCTCCTGGTAATTAATTGATCATTGTTTGTGCAGTAAAGGTATCTTGGTGACAAAAAAGATTTTAAAAAATAATTAGTACTTCAATGTGTAATATGAGGAAGGTGACATTATTTAAGTGGTTCATCAGGTGGGACATTTTAAAAGACCACTGATAATGAAAGACAGGAAATGTAAATTGTATAAAGCCTAGGCTAGTATAGTTGTAGATTGGCTTATTTGGGTAAGACTTTCACACAGCCCCTTACTTCATTATGCATTCAGTTCTTGGATAAAGAAAACAGTGGAGAAAACAATAGACTGTGCAGAAATCTTACCCATATTTGATACATACACATAAAAGTAAAAGTTGCTTAGTAGATTTTGTTGTGAAAGGATATAATCCAGTAGTTGAAAAATCTCTGCTTTCATTTGTCACAACCTTAGTCTGGTCCACCATGACTGACCATAGTGATGAAGTCTAATTATTTTTCCTTTTATTAATCTCAGAGAGAGCCTCTGAGGCAATAAGGGAATTGGAAGTAATCAAAGAAAAGCCTGATGTCCTACTTTGTGCCACCATGGCACTCATTCATGCACACAAGAAAGCTAAACTTGTTGACAGAGAAGCAGTTCAAGAGCTGGAGGCAAAACTTCGTCAGGATAGGCAGTCATGCGGTGAAATGGCATTGTTTTTTGGTGGAATGTTTCTCTGGCATACAGGACGGCATGACAAGGCAAGAGAGTATGTGGACAGAATGATCAAAATGGCTAGTAATAATAAAGAGGTAATCAACAAGTTTGTCAATCAATGTCTTGCTCTGTTATGACACTGGCATATATTCCTTTGTAACAATCTTTGCTGAAGAAGGGAACTGTGGCAGTAGATTTATGAAAGTCACTACTATTGATTTTAATTTCAGGGCCTTCTTTTGCGTGGTTGGATTGACATAACCAGTGGAAAGGACTCCTATGCCAAAAAGAGCATCAAAATGTTTGATGAAATACTCAGTGGGTTAGTGGTAGATAGTTAAGAAAGTGCTAATGTGGTACTAGTTCTACCATACTTAAGATGATTTCTGATTGACCACGTATAGCTGTTGCATATTCATCTGTTATTCTCAGCTCTTCTTTCAATTGATCACACTTCTTTTTTGAATTTTTTTTTCTTAATTTCAATAGGTCTGAAGTTGTTAAAAATCTGGATGCTTTACTTGGAAAGGTCAGAAAAGTAAACTAGTTTTTAATGCTAACATGCAGTATTTTTTTCTTGATGAGTAAGGAGGGGTATTCTACAAATCCTGCAATCTGATTGGTACAGAGTTCAGAAAGTATTCTCTCATCCAGCCCACTCACACTGGGCAGTATCTTATCCACTGTGTGGCCTGTACATCACTAGCTTGGTTGTAAATTTATGTAAATAAACTTTGGTTCGCCAGCTGGGCAGCATTTTTAAGCAAAGACTTTTGTCACAACCTTTTTAGCCAATAAATAACTTATCAAATTTCTCTTCTCTCTTTCTCTCAAATTTCTTTGGTTTTTCTGTAAAAATTGATTTCCAAATGAATTATTTTTGTGATACCAAATGTATTTTTCAGATGGAATAAAAGAAGCCAAAAAACAATTTAAATTGATAATCCTTCTCAAAAAGCAACTCAGAAAGTTAAAACAAGAGGATTTTGCAGTTAACAATTACATCAATCAATTTGTTTTTTGTAAAATGTTGAGCAAAGTTTTGAGTTCTAATATTAAAAATATACTTTTGCTGATTCTTTGCAAGTCCCATGAATTTGGACATATTTTTTACATTTCACAACAGAAACCCAAGTAATTAGATGACTTAAAGTTGCATTAAAGTTCCCTAGGATTTGCTAGAATTTGACTTCAGTTTTTCAGTGGAAGAGAGGAAAAATTTACACATGCCATTGCAGGAAACAAACAAGCAGACTCTCAAAACTTCAAAAGTACATTTGAATTTATGTACAACTTTATTTTCTCTTTTATCTACTTGCTCAAAAATTGTTCTTCATATGGAGGATCTTGCCATAATTGCAGCCCTAAATCATTAGGGGTTCTTTTGGAAAGCATTTTGTTACGTGTTAGAAAAAAATTAAAATGTTAGAAAAGGTTGTGATATTCATTGTGGTGAATAACAATAAAAGCTAAGTTTTCTGTTTGTCGCACAATGTAGTCATGTGTGATGTAGATCACAACGTTTCGACTGCATACTGCTAGTCTTCTTCAGACGATGAGGTCGACTGGTCATGTGTGATCTTATAAAGCATGATGCTCTGCTGTGATTAGTTGTTTTTCAACAGCTCTGATTGGAGCATTTTGATCCTTACTGTACATTCTGTGATTAGCTCCCTCAGCAGTCCACTGTCACATGGCTCTCCCATTGTTATGTCTTTTGATCATGGGCATCCAAGCTTCTGGAATTTCTATTCCACTATCCCTTTTGATATTGTTAGGGTGAAGTCTTATATGAATTGCCTCTTTGACCCTGTGCGTGTAATAAGGGTCATGATCAATAAACTTTACTTCGTTCCAGAGTGGCTTGTGTCCGGTGTAATTGTAGGCATGCTCTGAAATGGCAGAACAACAAGGATCAAAATGCACCAATCAGAGCTGTTGACAAACAATTAATCACAGCAGAGCATCATGATTTATAAGATCACGCATGACCAGTCGACCTCATTGCCTCGAAAGGTTGCAATCTACATCACACATGACTACATCGTGAGACAAACGGAAAACTTAGCTTTTATTAATTAAAATGTCATTTACCATCCTAGGTCAGTCCATATTGGGACAAACTGTGCCCTCTGTCTTGAGTATCAAGACCTCAGGCACAGTTTTTCCCAATATGGACCTCCCAGGTGGTGAATAACATATATTAATTGTTTGTGGAAGAACACTGATAGTTGCATTGATTATAGTTTTTTTATGCACCTTATTTTCAAGTAAATCATACACTTTCACATTGTCTATGCACTTATACATTTGAATTTTCTTTGTTTTTTTTCCCATAAATAAATGAATAATGAGAAAATAGATGGAAAACAATGTGAAGGAAAGATAAATGACTTTTCCATACTTTTGGTAAAAATTAAGGTAGATTTTTTTTCTTTATACATGATAAAAGGCAAAGTACTTAGAGACAAAAAATAATTTCAGCGGTGCACTGGAACTCATCAATCAGGTAAGTATGTGTTTCAAATTTTTTTAACAAAGCAATCATTTGACACCACTTTCAACTGACCTATTCAATCATTAGTAGTAATAATAATAAAATAATAATGATAACAATAATTTGATAATAATAACAACAAGTTATTAACACCATTTCCAACAAGTAGCTCTTCATCTGTTAATAACTAGCTACAATTAATCATTCACAGTTAAAACAAATTTAGGAAAAACTATAAAAAAGTAAATAAGAAGATATTTGTTCCAAAGTTAAATAACTAATTTTTGCAGTGGTTTAAGTGGTGAAATTGTCATAATAGAAAGAAAAGGACTGCTCACAATTACTTTACTGCTGAAGAAATTTGTTTGCTGAAGGCAAAGTGAATATTGTTGAATGGTCCCTGAGACAAAGTTGAGGGAGTTAATTACTATAAAATATTTGTGGATCCTGAGTAGGATAATTGTTTTGGTATTACTATGAATAAATTAATTTCCAGTTGAGTATCAATAGTAATCTAGGATCAGTTGGGTTTGTTTAACTTTGCTCTGCAACTGGTCCAGAGCACTTGTGCCATCCTCTCCACCAAACAGATGCAAAACTAAAAATAACTATAACTTGGTCATTTGTATTGTCCCACACTGAACCAGTTAGCTTTTTTTCAATTTTGAGTTCTCATTGGCTAATAATAATGTAAACTTTGTTATGATTGGTTGCTGGGATTATTTTGGATTTGGCTTTTCAATACCCAATTAAAAACTACCAGCATTTGCTTTTGTTTTTTCCTCTATTTTAAAAATAAGTCCTTGAGTGGTATAATCACCTTGTTTGGGAGGAAGCAAGATTTTTTGTGATCCATTTTTTACACATATCAACCAGTTGAACTGTTTTTACAGGCTGTGGTAGGATATCCAGACTTCATACCTGCTCTGATTGAAAAAATGAAGCTACAGCTTGCTCTGCAAGACTGGGACCAAACACTGGAGACAGCTCAGAGGTAGACAAGAACCAGCAGATAATATAATATGCATCTCTTTGGTGGAAAAAATGTATATAATCATTTAATTAGGGATCCTAAATTATGTTCCCTATAGGGCTTCTAAGTACATGAAAACTTGTACAATGCAGCTATATGCTTTTCTCTCTAATGATTTGAAAATATGTTGTATATTTTAGAGTGAAATTAAAGTAACAAAGGAGAGATTTCAAGGATCAGTCTGTGTGTCATTTGTTACCATGATTCAGTTATAATGATTTATCTTTTAGAGCCCTGAATAGTAGCAGAAACTGTATAGAAGCACAGCGGATGGTTGTTCTCTACACACTGTGTCGAGATGGAAAGTATAATGAGGTGAAAAAAGAAGTTCTTACTTTATTTAAGTTTTTTATAAAAAAATGAATCTAAATACTGACTCACTAGTCAGAGTTAGTGGTCTACCATTAAATTGGTAAGAAAGTTAGGTTGTTCTTAAATAGATGTGACATCTTTGTTTCAGGCCTCAGACAGGCTAGGAGAATTAATTCAGATGGTAGACAGATGTGAACCAAGGAATTCTTATCTATATCATGATTTGTCCCAAGCAGTCAGCAGACTGGTATGTTACTACTGTATATTGTTTATCAAGCTAAACACTTAGAAATTTCTATAACAATAATTTCTATTCTTTGTTAAATCATGAATCTCCCTCCATGTATTGGTTGGTGGTCTTGGCAGAGGAAAGCTGTTACAAATTTATTGATAAAATATCATTTATTACTGCTGATTTGATTATAAATAATATAACTGAAAGGTTTCTTCTCTAGTTAAAATTTTAATCTTCCTTAATTTCAGACACATCATTATAACATGTTCATATACAAAAACAAAAGGAAAAACTACAGTTCCAAACCAAGCTAAACTTGAAAACACCCACATGTCATGGGAAAATATACTTGTACTGAATTTTTTGTAATCCTTCATCTGACTGTATGCACAAATAGAGACCTAGAATTTGTCAAACCCTGCCAAAAATATTTGATTTTAGTTTGATGCTTTTGCAAAGGTCCTGTAAATATTTGATGTGCTTGATAATGAAGAGAAGTTTTTTTCAGTTAGTAATTAACACATTTTATTGTTTTCAGTGTGGCAGAAATGATTTAGTGTTGCAACAGACACTGACACTGGTGGAAAGAGCTCAATCACTTGCTCCTAACAGTGCAGAGTTTCAGACAGAAGTAAGTACATGTACATGTGAGTAGTTGCGGTTAAGGCAGCAGCTATTATGGGCTATGCTGTATATCTAATGTACAGTTTACTTTTGTGTTAATTGGAAGAATTTCATCCTAAGTACCCCTAAAAAGTTCTGCATGCACAGTAAGTTAAAAAATTAAAAAGACAACTGATTTTGAGATAATGATCATGAGTGCTCTTAGGATAGGAGATGAACTTTCTTCATTTGTCTCATGATGGAGTCACTTTGGATGTTGATTGCAATATTTCAACTGCAGTACTGCAAGTGTTCATCAGGTGATGAGGTCTATTGTTTACATGTCACTATTTGTAGCAAGTTGGTTCACTGCCATTGGTGCATTTTGATCCTCATTATTATTCCAGTTGTTAGATGGTTTTCCCTCATAAGTCCTCATTGATCGGCTGTTGTATTGTTTGATCATGGGTATCCAAGCTTCGGCAATTTTGATTCCACTATTCCTATTAATGTTGTTGGGATGAAGTCTTATATATGGATAGCCTCATCGATCTGTCACCTAAAATGTGTACCAGTGGAGTCATGATCAATAAACTTAACCTTGCTCCAAATAGGAATATGCCCCATTTTGTTAGCATTCTCTGAAACCACAGTACGAGAAAACTGTATGTCTCTGTCATGTTCCTTTATCCTTTATACATTGATCTCCTTGTTTTGCTGATATACACTTTGCCACATTCACATGAGATCTTGTAAATGGCACCTTCTTGTTTCATACTAAGTGAGACCTAAGTGTTGTGTCAGACTTGAAAATGGTCCATATGCCTTGATGTTGTAGGCAGCAGCAAAAAACCTCAAATACACCCTCTATGTAATGGAGAACTGTGCTGTTACCCTTGTTGTCTTTGCGAGTTTTCATATAAATGAAGAAGGATAACCATCAGAAACAAGTATTGATGACATTCAAGTGTTTCTTTTCCTTAGAGGTAACTGACAGTTTCATTGTGAGGTGTTTGGCTCACTGGTATAGATACTTAACAATACCACACTTCACTGACTGAAGGTGGTGTGAATCATAGGCTAGGTACTGGTTAGTGTGGTTGGGCTTTCTGTAAACTGTGGTAGTGAGAAGACTGTCTGAGTCCCTTGTAACTGTTGTTTCATGAAAAGGAATGGTGTTATCTTTCTCAATTTCCATGGTAAAATGAATAGTAGGCTGTTGACTGGTTAGATGTTGTAAAAAGCTGTTGACATGGTCCTGGTCTGAGACTGTGAAAGTATCATCTACATATCATTTCCAGATCTTAGGTTTGTAAGTCGCTTTTAATTTGCTATCCCCTGTTCCTCAAATTCTTCAATGTAGATGTTAGCTATAACTGCAGAAAGAGGGCTTCCCATAGCAGCTCTGTCTTGCTATTCATGAATCCATCTGTTGTACTGGAAATATGTCAATCTTAAGACGAAATTCAAGAGGTCGGCATTTTGTGTAGGTGTTAAATTTGTGCGGGTAGCAAGATCAGCATCATTCTCTAGTTTTCCCGATGTGTCTTGAGCTGCACCCTCAATCAGTACATTTGTAAACTACAATTCTATGTCAAAAGATACCATGACCTCATTATCATGTACTTTCTCATGACTGATGGTTGACATGAGGTGCCTAGAGTTAATAACTGAGTAGTCTGACTTCCCTGTCAAGGGGGAAAGGATATTGGCTAATAAGTATGCTGACAAATCATAAGCATGATACAATTGGTCTGAACGGTATGTTGGGCTTGTGTATCTTAGGTAAGCTGTAGATCCTAGGTGGCTGTTTGTGCCTAGGTTTGATCTTCTTGTTGATGGTTTCTGATAGATGCACACTTTGTTTCAAGCTGAGAAGCTCGTCAGTGTGTTTACAGCTTAGCTGGTTGGTTGGGTTTTTGTTGAGGAGATGGTACAGACATGTTTCAAGTAATAATAATAATAATAATAAGGACTTTATTTATAGAGGGGGACACGTAACAGCTAAAGCTGACAAACCTGTGGCCCTCTAACTAGATTATACAGCATTACAAAATAATACTAATAAATAGATAAATATACAAATAATTACAAAATTCTATGATAGAAATAGCAGGATATATTAAAAATATTCAGAAAGATAAAATTAATTTATAAAAAATTAAAATTAGATAATGTGCTATTGCTTAATATTGTTTCAAAGTTGTCCAGGTTTCTATATGAGCTTATAAAATACTTTTTCACAGCTGTTTTGAATAGTTTTATACTAGGCTTATTTTTGATATTATGGGGAAGGCTGTTCCATAACTTAACTGCGTCAACACTGAATGCCTTGCCACCATCGTTATTTCTTAGGTATTTGGGACACACTAAATTTAAATTGCCATGTCTAGTAGACCTATTGTGTACAGAACTGTTCGTCTTGAGCAAGTCTCTGATGTAAATCGGAACATCGCCTTTAAGGCTCTTAAAAATCATTGTACACTTATTTAGTTTGATTTCATCAAAAAAAGGCAACCAGCCTAGTTTACTAAAGTTTATAACACTTCTAGAATAAGAGTCAACTCCAAGAATTACTCGGGCAGCCCTTTTCTGTAACCTTAGGAGACAGTGGAGTTCTTTAGCGTCGCAGATATTCCAAACCATGCTCCCATACATAAGGACGGGTTTAATCAAGGCGTTATAGTATAAGAGTCTTTCTTTTATTGGAAGGTATCTCTTTATCTTCTTCAATAAACCAATACGCTGAGAAAGCTTGGCCTTTAGACTAGAAATGTGGTCGCTAAATGTAAGATCTTGATCGAGTGTTACACCAAGCAATTTATAAGAAGTTACTTGTTCTATTTCGGCCCCATCAAGGGTTATTGACAGGTGATTGCCATCCGCTAATGATGAATGTAGCCTCTTTCCGGTGATAAGTAATGCATTGGTTTTAACGGCGTTTAGGACCATCCCATTTTCGCTAGACCATTTACTTAATTTATCCATGTATTCTTGAAGACGTCGTTCCAATTCCAAAGGTGCATTATCGATATTAGCGCTGGCTTTAAATGTGGTGTCATCCGCGTAAGCATGAATAGTTGAGTCCGATCCAACAGCTTCGGGAAGATCATTGACGAAAATTAAAAACAGTAGAGGTCCTAATTATGCTACCTTGAGGAACTCCATTGGTTAGCGTAAGTTGTGACGAAGTCGAGTTATTTACAGTAACACACTGTTTGCGATTGAGTAGATAGCTCTGCAATAGCTTTACAACATTATCTGGAAATCTATATGATCTTAACTTTACCAGGAGAATGTCATGATTGATCAAGTCGAATGCCTTGCTATAGTCCACAAAAACTAAGCCGCTGACGTTGTTCTTATCAAGGTCAAGAAGGACTTGGTCCAGAAGAAACAACAAAGCAGTATCCGTGGAGTGGTTTTTACGGAACCCTGATTGGAAGCGGTATAAAAGTGAATTTTCTGTTAAGTAGGTGTTCACAGCATTGAAGATGTGTCTTTCAAAGACTTTAGAAAGAATAGGCAAAATGCTAATAGGACGATAGTTTTGAATATCTTGCTTGTTTCCTTGATTCTTGAAAAGAGGTTTAACCTTTGCTATTTTCCATTGTGAGGGAAATGTACAAGTTTCAATACAGTGATTTATAATTTTAGCTATGGAGCATGATATTTCAGGAGCTGCAATCCTTAGAACTCTGGCACCAAGCCCATCGATTCCCGTGGCTTTGTGTGTAGGTATACTTAGAAGGTAATCGTTAACCTCACTAGGAGTTATTTGCGGAATAAGATTTTCAATTTGACTGTTAGATTTGTCTGGTGGACCAGGAAGAGCATCATAATGAAGTACAGGTGTCGACTTTATGAGACGTTTATATACATCAACGAAGAAGCGGTTAAAGCGTTCAGCGATTGAATGGTCATCCTTTATCAAGTTGTTGTTTTCGTCAACAATAGGGACGGAGTCGTCGTTATTCTTTGTATCTTTAGATAGGTCTTTAATTAAAGACCAAAGTTTCTTTGGACATTTTTGATTTTTACTGAACTGAGTTTTAAAGTACTGTTCCTTCGCATTTCTTAGTTTCCTCGTCACTTTGTTTTTAACCAGTTTAAAAGCAGACCAATCTTGCTTATTTTGTGTTCTCCTGGCCCTCTTTAGAAGATTATCGCGTTTATTTATTTCGTTGTATAGATCATTAGTGAACCATTTTGGCTGATTGATTTTCTTCACACTCTTGGACTTTAAAGGTGCGTGATTATCAAGAATGTCATTAAAGATTTTGTACCAAGATTCAACAATGTCATCGGCATCTCGAAAAACAAAGGAGATATCCCAAGGGGCTTCTCTTAGGTCTCGCAGAAAGCACTCTTTGTTGATTTTGTCGATATTTCTGTATTTGATTTTGGAATGTTGTTTACGTTGTGCATCCATGGTTTTGTAGCACCTCAAGATGGTGACCGGAAGGTGATCGGAAAGTCCAGATTTACCTATGGATACTTCTCTAATTCTAGCAGGATGACTAGAATAAATATGGTCTAAGCACGCATCAGAGGCAGGTCTTGTTACCCCATTTACCATCTGCGTTAGTCCAAGACTGTTCAGTGCCTTTGCGAGACAATGTTTTGAATAACAGTTGAAATCAATATAATCCAAATTAAAGTCTCCCAGAATAATCAATTCATTGTTTTGGAGATGGGCATTTTCAATATTTTTACCCAAGCTCTCATTATAATCTTTGTTGGCTGAAGGTGGACGGTAAACACCAGATATCAAAATCGGTCTCTTTGATTTATGAGGACAAATTTGAAGCCAGAGAGTTTCAAGATCATCCAGTTCCAAATCTCTTCGACGTAAAGCCATAACTTTCTCATTTACATACGCAAATATGCCGCCACCTTTCTTCCCGATTCGATCTTTTCTGTGTAATGTGTAGCCGGGTATCATGTAATAGCTGTCTGGAATTTTACTTGATCCGAACGTCTCAGTGAGAATTAAGACGTCGAGTTTAGCAGCACTGTTGTTGTTCGAGGTGAGCATTAGCGATAGTTCTTCCAATTTGGTGTCAGTCAGTCGTTGGATGTTCCAGTGGCAGACTGATAAACCTCTGAAGCCTGCAGGTGGTTGAAGATTATTAGGCCCTGGATTGACGGCAATATCGCCAGATAGAAGAATGCACAGACAAAATTGGCCAAGCTTGATGAACCGCAACAACGCGTGAAGCTTCAAATTCAATTCGCAAGGTGTGCATTTCGAAGGCTTTGACTTACAGTTGAACGTATGTGGAGCAGATATTTCCTTCCCAATGAAGAGTGTAACTGTAGAGCGATCGAATTCAGGTGTAATTGAAGTAAATTGGCCAAGTAAAACGCTGAAAATAGTCAATAGAAGCACGACTGCAAAAATATGTCTGCACGCCATGACTAATTTATTCATTCCTGTTTTTCTAACGTTTTCATTTTGTTGAAGTATGTGTTTGTGTCTAGGACTACACTAGTGCAGTCTTAGTCCACTGGCAGGATAGTGAGTGTCGTCTTGTTTTAGATTCTTAAGGGCTTCTCGCATATCCTTAGTGATGTTAGACTTGGGTGGTTTGGCCTGTCAAAGGATACTGCTTACAGTTTGTCTTACAGTGTCTGCTTGCTCTGAGTCAAGCGTTCTTATTGCTGACTTGACTTTGGCAACTTTTTCAATGGCTGGGATGTTGGATGGAGTTTCTGCAACCCTTTCTTTAGTAATGATACCTTGGTATTGCTAAGGGGGTGTGAAGATAAGTTAATTACCAATTTGTTTTTGTCAACTTGAGGTGGTGGTCAACATTAGAAACAGCAGAAGCTTGTTTCCCGTGGACAAGTTTCAGAAACTTGCATTGTTGTCTATCTTTAGTGGTGTTAAATATTCTTTGGGTATTAACTCTGATTTTTTCAAGTATTTCACTGGCCTCATCTGCAAAAAGAGCGGCTGTTATGCTCCTAGCAATAGACTCAGTCTCTTTTTTCCCATCTCCCTTAGCTCTCTGAGTTAGTCGTATTTGTTCCCTAAGGAACCTTTTGAAGGCTAGTTCAGCTACTCTACAAGCCCCTTTGGTTGGTACTGGTGGTGGGACCCAAAGGTCTCGAGGAATGATAGGTATCCAGTCAAGTTGCCAACGGTTCAACTTGCCAAAGCCAGCTCACCAACGTATAAAATCAAGTAGAAACGTCGGCGAGTTGATTTCCAATCCAGTACAACTTCAAGTGACATGATGAGTCTTTACAGTGTTGTTGTCACACAATAACTCTGTAGCATCTGAAGCTTTTTTGGTCATTGGCAATGTTCACTTCGCTTTATTCACCTTGAGATCCTTATAAACTTTGTTGGAAATGAAAAGAATTGTTTTTTACTGACGATCTTGTCCAGAAAGCCAAGTTTTCTTTAAAAAGTTGTTGTCACACAATAACTCATTTGCGTCTGAAGCTTTTATAGTCATAGGCAATGTTTACCTTGCTTTATTTGCAATGAGATCCTTATAGACTTTGTTGGAAGAAAAAAAATTGTTTTTTTGCTTAAGATATTTTGCTTTTCTATATGTTTAACTTCTAAGAAGTTGTACTGGATTGAAGACCAACTCGCGGACATTTCTACTCAATTTTATATGTCGGCAAGTTGGCGTTGGCGAGTTGAACCATAATTCAAATGATATGGCTCTTAATACACCTTGCAAGAAAGGTGAGGTGGTTGGTATAGTGAGTGAGCTTGTGTGAGCATCACTCATGGCTCATAAGTGCTCATATTGGTCGATATTTGTGTTTACACGAGAGTATGTAACATGGTTGAGATGGTTAAACTTTAGGAGAAAAAGTTCACTCAAATTTCACTCTTTATAATCAACAAAATAAAACTGCATTGAGCTCAAACCCAGACTTCTTTATTTGGAGTGTAGCATGCTAACCAATAGACCACCATGTGTCACATTGAGTGTAAATGGAATTTAATTTGGTGTCTAACACAAAATTTTTTAACTTTGGGTTCACAGCTTGGAAATCAGCTCATCTTATGTCACCGCAACCGAGAGGCAATGAAAGCCTTCCGCACTGCCATGAAGCTTGATGAAACAAGTGTACCAGCACTGACAGGTTAATGATGTTTCACTTCGCATTCATTTTGAGAAGGCCATTTATGAGTATCAATTTATTCATGGAAGTAGACAAGGATTTGTAAGAAAACTGTAACTATAGACTCCCTACAAGTGTTCAGTATACCATTTAAAAAGCAAAAGGTCAGGATATTTATTCCACAGGTAGGTGCATCAGTGGCTATCAAGGAGGGTTTCATTTTGAGAGAATTGAGGTGGAAACAGGAAAATGAAAAACTTACAAAATTTACCAACCACCAAATGTGTTAGGTATTCATCTAGAGTGTACTTTATTTCAAAGCTTTAATTAATGGCTCAACTTAGGCAGATGTTAGTCGTGCATCTCACATGTATTTCACAAAAGCAACTGAAAAAGTTGTAGGCCAGTGTGGTAAAAAACATTCTTGATGAAGGGTTTATGAGACAATTTTATGACCTAATAAACATTGACAAAGGCTTATTATGGCAAACATTCATGAAAGTCCAGCAGATGATGTTCACAAAGCTTTGAAACTCTGTGCCAAATGACACATTTAGGGGTTACATTTAATTCAAGCATTGTGTCTTTTGTGTCAGGGATAATCAGGTGTCAGCTGATAGATGGACAGCTTGAGGATGCTGAGCAGCAGTTAGAGTTCCTGAATGAAATACAACAATCTATTGGAAAGTCATCTGTAAGCTGCCTGTAGTTTTAACTGGAGTGTGTTTCCAAAAATTCTTGATCTTTGGATATTCTGTCTTGACCTCTATTCTTGTAGCAAAAACCTCAACAATTTTGCTGGTTGTTTTGCAGTTTAATACTAGATTAGATCCAGATGGTTTTAGAGTATTACAGATTTGTCATGTCCTATTTTGAGATGGGTTATATTGAACTTCTTTAACAAAGAACATCCGAAATCACCTTACTGTGGTTAAAATTATTCTTAAGGGTAATTTCATTTTCACCCATAGTGGCTATTTGAATCAAGATGAAACCTTGCATGCAGTTATTCCTATTAAATGGAGTAAATATGAAAGCAATTGTGTTTCCACAGGAGCTATCATACCTGAGTGCTGTACTTCAAAGGCAGAAAAACAAGCCAGCTGAGGAAGTCATCACCCTTCTAAATGAAACCATTGATGCACATTTTTCCTCCCTTAAGGTTAGATGAACTAATGGACAGTGTAACACTTGAAGTATTGTCATTGTAAATAAAATTGCTTAGTAGATGACTCATTATGAGTTGTATAACTGCTAACAATTTACTGATGTAAAAAATTTTTGTCAAAACTCTTGAGGAAGCACTGTTAGCTCACTGGGAGTTGTGCATATATATTCTGCAAATGAGCTGCAATCAGACAGATGCTGGGAAAAGATGACCGCATTCAGTTCAGCAGCTTGTGAAGTTATATAATAATTAACCTATTTTGAGCTTTAGCTTTTAGCTTGCAGATTTTTAGTTTTTGTTGCTTTTGTTTTCCAGGGTCTTGCCCTTGGTGTAAAGTATTTCTACTGCTTGAACCCAGATTTTCTTCTTCAAGTGATTAATGACTACCTCATATTTGCTCCCACTGAAGTAAGTTTCTCAACCATAGAATTTGTGTCTGCAGATTGCTGATACATGTACATAATATGTATAATTGAATAGTTAAGTTTAATTTATTGGATGCCTTTACAGTGAAGGTCAATTTGAAACACAGAAAAGCCAAAATGGATATGGATGAGCAAAATTTTTGAGAAATTTGGTGTCCTGAAAGTTGGAGGGCCAGACTCCAATTTGAAGGGCCCGGTTTGCTTTTTGGCAAGGTCTTTCTGTTGTTTTCTTGGCAGAGACGCTTTGGTGGATATTTACCAAGCTGTGAAGTGGTGAGGTAAACATCCACCACTTTCACAGACACTGTGGTGAATGATTGTTTTAGTATGTACCACACAGATACCAAAAAATGTTAAATAACATTTCTCCCAATTGAAAATACTAAAAAATGGTTGGAAATTAAACTCTTTTTGTCTTTACAATGATGTAAATTGTCTTTACAGCTGCTTGGAGGTGAATGATACTTGTTATTCACTTCTGCACAGTCAGCATGCACTAAAAGCACCATTCACTTGTGTGGTATGTACTAAAACTGTTTTGTCAAGTTTCTGTGGCAATTTGCCATGGAAACCTAACAAAACATGTAGGGATAGCCCTGCAATGGACTGGCATCGAGTCCAGGGTGGAGTTACTGTAGTTGTAAATGTCCTAGTCATGCCATGCCACTAAAACTGAGGTAAGGTCCGCTAAAATGGGACATTTCACTCATAAGCTGACCTTGCCTTCATCATATGAGAAGAATGGGCAAACATGTCCTAAAATACAGTAACCTTAAGCCCTTTTAAAGTTTTTGATTGTGGTTCAAACTGTTGTCAGGCTCAAAGCCCTGGTCAGCCTCCTCCTCCACTTCTCAAGCGCTGTGCAGCTGTGTTGGATCCTTTGACAAAAAGTGTTCCTGGATTACTGGAGGGCTTGTACCTAATGGCTAAAGTCAAGTATTTATCTGGTAAGAATTTGATTGTGCAAAGGAAAACAGCAAAAAGATTTAAAAGAAAAGAGGCAAAAACAGTGGTAATGGGGTGGAAGTGTGGCAACTCACTAGATACTATTTTTGGTTGAATGAATTTTATTATATGTAATTCCATCTCACTCGGTTATAACAAACTGTGTGTGGTACATTAAACCCACTACCTTATAACCCATGAATTCTATGGACATTGTGCTTTTCTTCCAGGAGAAACTGATGCTGCTAAAGCCATGCTGACTCATTGTTTGGACCAAGATCCAACATTTTCTGATGCACATCTTTTGATGGCCCAAGTTAGTTGATGCTCTTGTTTTTTTAAGGGTATTTTTGTAAGACCTCTGGAACCAGGAAGTAAAGAAAATATCACTTATTGTGGTAAATCAGAATTTTGTATTGGTTTAGTTAGTCTATAATACATTGTCTGAGGGGCTTCACTTTTGGAGTACAATTAACTCATGGTCATTACAAAAAAACACATCCCATATATAGATGAAAATCACTAGGTTTGCATAATTCTGTGAAGACAGTTAGAATGCATGCATTTTCTAAACAGTTATGACACTTTTCTTTTTCCATATGCTATCAACAGATTCACCTTCTGCAAGGTAACTTCAAACTGTCTGAGCAGTCACTTGAAGTGGGGCTTAGTTACAACTTTGAGGTGAGCTTGTGTCATGAAAGCATAACATTCTTAATCAGTTCCAATAATCTTTACCACTTCATGCGTGTACATGTAGCTACTACATTTGTTGCCATGTTTAGGTTTTTGGGAAATATAGTATTGTTGTTGCAAATCTAAACCTTGAGTGAAAATGAGTGTGGATGGGGAAAATGAAAGCTTTTTATATTGGAAAACTTAAAATGACTACTACATGGAAAACATGTTTTATCTTCAATTTGGGTTTGTTAGGTGAGGAACCATCCACTATATCATTTGATAAAAGCCCGAGTGCAGAGAAAGATGGGTCATCCAGAGGAAAGTGTTAACACCATGCATGCTGCCATGAATCTTCCAGGAGTTAAAAAAGCAGGTAATATTTGTTTGGTTAAGAATATTCATAGGTAGCAATGTTGTAAAACCTTTGCATTTCAGAGGCATTAGATGATAATCATTCACGTGGTTGATAAACATATTTCTATGATAATAAAAAAATTCCTTAGTTTGTGAATTTGGTTAACCCTTTAACTCCCGTGAGGGACTAAGACAGAATCCTTCTTGCAATAGCACAACAATATCAGTCACACAAGTGATTAGGGATTGTTAGTTAAAATAAATTGAAATTCTGCAAACTGTGATGACAGGAAGAACTGTACAGCAGATGGTAGGAGGAATTACCAATAAAATCTTGGGAGTGAATGCTGTATGCATATCACTTTGCTTTTAATTCTTAATCAGCATTTTTCTTCTTTCATTTTTGTATATTTGTAGTCTCCAAAGCACAAGGCAAGAAAACAACAATAACTGCCAGTGATAGAGCTGCTGTATTCCTTGAACTTGCTGATGCACATATGGAGGCTGGACAATTGGTAAAGAAATTTTGAACAAACACCTCGCCACATCAGCAAGTCTCTAAGGCTCAATTGATCTATCCTACCTTTTACTTTGTGTTGCTTGACATTTAGAAGCCTTTTGTCCACTGCATCAAATTGTACTCATATACTGTGATATTAAGTCACAGTTCACCATAGGTTGGAGGTATTCCTCTCTAGACTTCCACTTTGTGATTCTATAAAAAAAAAACATTCAACTCTTTTGTTTTTTTCCTCTTTTCTTTGTAGCATGAGGCTACTAAAGTCATGCAGGATGCTTTACATGAGTTCACTGGCACCCCAGAAGAAGTCAGGTAAACTGAGAAGGCATAAAACAACAACAAAGAAGTAATGATTGATACTTTAATTTGAAATTTGGTTAATATCCAGAGTTATCTCACATAAAGGTGGGGATTTTTTTTTCTGTTGTCAGGATTCAGATTTCCAATGCAGACCTTGTGTTAAAGAATGGTGATACAGAGCAAGCCTTGACTATACTTAGACAAATCACTCCACAGCAAAGGTTTCTAAGTTATTCTTTAAATTTTGAAAAAATGTATTGAATAAACCAGTAGACAAGTGTAATTTCTTTGATTTTTGTTATTGTACAATGGTGCCTTCTATATAAAGTGTTTTGTGAATAACTTAAGTTCTTGAATTTACAATAAAAAACTTGATTAATTTTCAATTTTTATAGATTGAGTGGTTGATATCTTAAGTAATTTATTTTCTTTTCTTCTGGCAGTTACTACATCAAGGCAAAGGAGAAGATGGCAGAAATATATTTACATCATCGCAAAGACAAGCGATTGTATGCAAGTGTTTACAGGTCAGTTTTCAGTCCAGGCTCACATAATCACCAACCAAAAATTTCATTTGAAATTGTACTTATGAATGTTGGCTGTAGTAAAAGAAACACATGTGAATTGTCTTTGAGTTATATATCACAAATATTGGTGGTTTCTTTATTTGTTGTCTGTAATTGTGTTAACTCTTGAGCCCTTTTGTTTATACAAAGGGTTTTCATGTACGATAGGAAAACTTCCCTCTTTTTATCCAAAATACTTTTTTTCTTGTCTATCTTTGATCTTTGATTGTCCTGCATGAACTAGGTAGAAAAAGTGAAAAGTAAATGTCAATGAATGAATTTTAAGAAAATGCTATTTGGATAGCATGATAGCAAGGTATATGATGTCTACACTCTTGTAAACAGTTTTCACTACAACTAGGAATTGAAACATATTTGAATGTGTGCAGTAAACCTAAATATAAATCTAATTTAACATACTGCAGGGAACTTGTTGATAAGAACCCTAGTCCTCACACTTGTCTGCTGTTGGGAGATGCCTATATGAGTATTCAGGAGGTAAGCTAGTAACCTTATTTGAGAAGCTAAATATGTCGGCTTTATGTGGATGGGGAAGAACTTTTGTACTGTGAAAGTTATTAAGCTTTTTGGAAGAATGTTCTATGGAAATACAATATTGTATCACTTGTTATCATGTTTTTTTGTCACATTAAGCCTGAGAAAGCCATTGAAGTTTATGAGACAGCCCTGAAACGAAACCCAAGAGATGGAGCATTGGCAAGCAAAATAGGACAAGCACTGGTGAAAACACACCACTATGGCAAGGTATGGTATGGGCAGTTCTCTTGGTGATGGCTTTAACAAAAGTAATGAAAGAGAAACGGAAAACCAGTTAACGGAAGAAAAAAATTATCAAAATGTTTTCAGTTGTAAAACAATATGGTTATATTGCTGTGGTTTGATGAGAAGTAAGACTGTTCCTGTTGTTGTTGGTTGTTGTTGTGTGGTGTTGCAGAATTTGACTTTGGAGCCATGAGAACATCAGTTACAATGCCTTAGTTTGTATTCAGAATTTTTGTGAGGTTAAATGCATGTTCTCACATTTTAACCCTTTAACTCCCAAGATATCATAAGTAATTCTCCTTACACAACATCTGCCCTATAGTTCTTGTGATGTTTAGAGAATTTGGTTTTGGATCAACTAATAATCCTCTTGTTAATATTTTTCTTTATTCTCATCACTTGCCTGCTTGGTATTTCATTGATATTGTGAGGAGAAATTCTGTCTTGGCCACTCATGTGAGTTAAAAGGTTAAAGTTCAAATGATTGTGATGTCAATAGTCACACTCTAGGTGTTTGATGGAATGATATGACTGGAAGGAGAACCAGGCTCCAGGATTAATATGATTTTCTAAATTCACTGTGGTTTGGGATTCCAAAGTGTTACATTGCTGTTCAAGAATTTCAGTAACTTTACTTAAAATGTGACTTAGAATGCTGCCATTTTGAAACTGATTAACCTTTTTTTTGTGCATGACATAACACACAAAAAATTCATTTGAAATTGTACTTATGAATGTTGGCTGTAGTAAAAGAAACACATGTGAATTGTCTTTGAGTTGGCTATATATATATATCACAAACATTGATGGTTTCTTTATTTGTTGTCTGTAATTGTGTTAACTCTTGAGCCCTTTTGTTTATACAGAGGGTTTTCATGTACGATAGGAAAACTTCCCTCTTTTTATCCAAAATACTTTTTTACAAATACAACCTAGTTGGCAGGAAATGCAAAGTTTGGATCTCTGACAGCTACCACTTTTGTTATCATACATGTAACAACTTGTACTTAAAGCTAAAAGACAGTGCTTAGTCAAACAGTTTCCCAAAATTTAATAAAAAAAAGAAGGGGCTAGTTTCTGTTGTGTTATTGGGAAGTGGCCAGGTTGCTGACTAAGATTAAAAATGGCAGTTTTTGCAGTGCAATTCTGTCACTGTTAGGTAAATTTCTTTAGGGATGAAGAATGATTGTCTGAAGCTTAATCTACCCTTAGTGGCATGTTTGTACACAGTTGAACCTGTATCAAGTGGCACTAAATTAATCGGTCTCCCTGTATTAAGTAGTCAGTTGTCAAAGTCCTGAAATTCTTTCCGCTTAAACACTGCAATTTTCACCTCTATTAAGCCATCACCACCTTCGTTAAGCAGTCATGGCCACCCTTGACTGAGTCCCAATGGCCTCCTTGTATTGTCTTCCACTTGTATTGAACGATCATTTACAGTGGAACCACTCAAATAAAGCTAAAAAAATCTTTCAAATGTATTTAATCCATGTTTGTCTCCGGAAATCAATGTTTAACTTTATTTTTCAGCAAGGTTTTGTACACTTAGTAGTCAATTATCCTTAGGGTTAGGGCTTTTTATATTTTTTTTTTCAAATACCCATTTTGTAAAAAACTTGTATTACACAGTCAACCTCTAATGAGTGGTCACCCTGCCATTCCCTATTAGTGACCACTCAATACAGCTTTGACTGTATTTTTGAATTTATTTCCCTTATATGATTTGTATTATATGCTGTGTCAAGTTATCATATTTGATTCTGATGCTTTTTTGTAGGCCATAAACTACTATGAAGCTGCTTTAAAATCAGGACAGCAAAACTTTTTAAGGTTAGTCAAAACTTTGGATCACATATATAGGCTAGTTTGGTGGTTTATGCCATCTATGTGAATTATCTCCCTTTTGTTTTTCCTTTGCTAGGTATGATCTTGCTGAGCTGTATCTAAAGCTGAAAAACTATGAAAAGTCAGACAAGGTCATCAAGTTGGCTCTGGAGCAAGAAAAAGGTAAACACCTTTAAGCCTGTTATTTTTTAAACCGTATTTCCAATTTTGATGCTAATGATATTGATTGAGTTCAACAACATGGACAAACTGAGAAATAGGTCACTTGACTTATTTTGACACCAAGAAAATAGGTTAGAGGTTAATAGGGATTTTCAAACTTACATAAATGTGTACTTAATTTGCATTGTAAGATGTGTCTGCATGAAATTCCAAGAAACAGTGGAGTAAAAATAGGCATGTAGCTGCTTGGATCTCATACAGTTATCCTATTTTGATACAAAAATGTTACTCTTGACTAGTAAATAATTTTCATGATAAATACTTGTGTTGAGAAGCTAAAGGAAAGGTGCACTTTCAGCTGTTGGCTTTAAATTTAGGAAGGGATCTCTTTTCTTTATCTACTGAGCATCTTCTTCAGAAATGCAATTTATTCCTAGTGCAATTCCTTTCCCTCCCTCTCTATTCTAATACAGCTAATGACCTTCCATCTCTGATGGAAGAGGCTCGACTCCTAGAGCTTCAGGCTCATGTTTATCAAAAGTCAGGCAATGCAGAAGAAACCCTCAAGACACTCACAAGGGCCAAGGAGGTTCAAACCAGGTGAGATGCAGTGAGAAAAGGTTTGGAAAGGGCCCTGCAAGATTGAGCAGTTATGAAATATGGAATATGTAATGCTGCAAGAGACTTTTAAATGTATGCTTACAAGTGTAAGTTTGGAAGCTACAAGCTAGTTGAAAGGAAACACACTGACTCTCCTGTCAATATGATGAAAAAGCAACATACACCAAATCAAAGTCTCTTTTTCTAAGATGTGTTACTCAATGTTTTGCATTTGTATGTACCAAAGAAATGTGTGAAATTGTTAATGAACAATTCCATTAACCTAATGTTCATCGAAGTGGTAGTAGCTTGTGATCCTTTGTAAATATTAGAAATAAAATCTCTGTATTTTAATAACACTTCCAGGGTTTTAAGAAGAGTTGGGGTGGAACAACCAGATGCTGTCAAAGCACAAAAATTGCAGGCTGCAAAGTAAGTTAAAAGTTTGTTATCTTTATGGTACCATCAGACCCTGTGGTGGTAGAATTGGAGAATGGAAAGAGTGACACCACTAACCCATTGAAACGTTGTTACTTTGCTTTCCAAATTCCAAATTCTTTTACTATAACAATGTACTTGATCCCATTTCCTCTAAACATTACATGTGTATCTCCCAGAGATACCAAAATGCCAAGTTTATTTTCAGAAATTCATTAATGTGTTGTAGGAAGCTGGACTTCTTTGGCATAAACTTACTTAAAAATTTCTTTCATTTAAAATTTGTTTTTTTGGTATGATAAAGAAGTGCAGACTGAAATGAGTGTTTCTTTGTAAACGGCAGTTGGCTTCCTACAACTCTTTTGTGAAAACAGGGTCATTTTTTGATAAGATCTATTTGTATTTTAGTGCAAATTAAGGCATCTGTCAGAGTGTTTAGGGGAAGAGGAGGTCAATTTATGTAACTGAAACTGGGTGCAATAGGGAACAATACTCAAACATAATAATTAACTTATTTCCACAACACTTGTTAATAATCACAAGCAAGACTTTTAGAACCTTCATGGAGCTTTAATTCAGGTTATTTTTAGTAAAGGTTCAAACAGTTGTTTCATTCATAGGTAAAACAAATTTCCTTAAAGCAAACAAACACATACCAGTCCCAGTTTTTTTTTCAAAAGGTGTTGTGTAATCCCCTATAATATTTTTCCCTCATGGTATGCGTGACTGCACATTTATATGCCTCAACATATTGAAATATGCTTTGACAGAATCTGTGCTGAAATGGCAGAATTGTCTACTACTGCCAGAGAATTTGAGAAAGCCATAAATTTCTACAAAGAGGGACTAACATATGATGAAACACATGTACCAGTAAGTATTACAAACAGTTTTTTTTAGTCAAGTAATATCCGAGTATTAAAGTAAAGTGAAGCCTAGTTGTCAAGTTGACACTTACTTAACAACAATGACCGGCAGATAGATATAGAGTGATAGAGATAGATGGTGAGTGAGTAACAAACAAAGTGCAAGACATGTTGTTTTCTTGTACTTGGTGACCGTCATACTCTAATCTGATTCTCTGTTTTGTCTTGCAGTCCATGTTAGCACTGGCCAGACTTTATTTGACTGTGGATGATTTAGATGCCTGCCAGCAACAATGTGTTCAGCTTCTTAAGATGGATGCTGAAAATGATGCTGCAACAGTGGTAAGTAAATCTGCTGTGTACAAAAAAACTAAATGCAGTAAATGGTTTGAACCCGGGGGTAACATGTTGCGACATGTTGCGACCTATTGTTTCCTTCTGTGGTTCTCCGACATACCAGCTGTCCATGTACCTAACGACAATACTACAACCGCTCACCGACAAATCCAGACGAAAACTACAATCCACCGAGGACTTCATTAACGCCACTAAGACTGTACAGATACCTGACGACTACAAGCTAGTGTCATTTGACGTGAAATCACTTTTTACAAGTATTCCACTTCAACTGGCACTACAATGTACTGAGACTGCTATCCTTCAATCTACCGACCCTCTACCGCTACCGACAGAGGACATTATGGACTTACTAAACCTTTGCCTGACATCAACTTACTTTCAGTACAACAGCAAACACTACAAACAGTTACACGGTACAGCTATGGGGTTTCCAGTTTCTGTTGTTGTAGCAGAAATTGTGATGCAGAACATCGAAGAAAGCGCCCTTTCGACTTGCCGACAGACGATACCACTTTGGTTACGCTACGTTGACGATACTTTTACCGCCGTACGACGCAACGAAATCGACGCATTCCACCACCACCTTAACGAACAAAACACTGACATACAGTTTACTAGAGAGGTCGAAGAAAATGGTAAACTACCTTTTCTAGACTGCTTGGTAAGCCGTGACGACAATTCACTACGGATAACAGTTTACAGGAAACCGACACATACCGACAGATTACTGGACGAGTCATCCTACAACCCGACATCACACAAAGCCACTACTGTCAGGACTCTTACCCGACGAGCGCAATTAGTATGTAATACGACAGACAGCTTATCCGACGAGAACAAGTACCTTAACCGTGTCTTTTCAAAGAACAACTACAGCGAAGACTTCATCCAACGTAACACTCACAGACCTACTACTACTACCAAAACTAGCGACAACGCAAGTTCTACGACCACAGCCACTACACCAAACATAAAGGGCATATCTGAGAACATCTCACGCATCCTACAACCATTCGATATCCGCGTCCCTCACAAACCCATTACCACACTACGTCAGTTACTGACTAACATCAAAGACAGAGACAAACCGAGGAACAGACAAGGAGCAGTATATAAGATCAATTGCTCCGACTGCCACGCCTCCTACATTGGTGAGACTGGCAGAAACCTCGCAACCAGACTGACTGAACACAAACGAGCGACGAGGAAGGGCGGTGTCAACAATCACATTGCTGAACATCACCGACTTACGAACCACACTATTGACTGGGACTCTGCGCAATGCCTAAACTACAGCACCAACTACTTTCAACGACTGACCCTGGAAAGCTGGTTTACTAACTTGGAACAGACTCCCCTCAACCGGTGTCAACCACTACCGGCACCATACAAACGACTCATCCACGACATTAACATTACAAACGAACCGAACAGAACGACCTAACTAACTCACCCACAAATCCGGACGTACAAGTAAGTGTACATCTTTTTACTTATCCTTTGATGTTTTTTTACAGTTGGTAGTGTCCTAACTGTATCATTATTTTATTTGTGGTTTTCAGATGATGGCAGATTTGATGTTCAGGAAGAATGAATATGATTCTGCTACATTTCACTTCCAGCAGTTGCTGGAAAGAAAACCAGGTACTGTTAACATCGTAAAACTTTCTGTCACTTAGGCATACCAATGATGAATTTCTTCCTCACGCTGATAGTCTTTGAAATTGTGAATACAGAGTTTTGTCACACTGATAACAAACATAGGCCAGTCCTTATTATTTCATATCATTATGAGTTGTTTGCAAACCAGATATGACCAAAACATCATTCTCGACAAACCTGTTACCTTTCTGAGACATAAAAAATGATGGTCTAATGAGCCCTTAACGGATTCATGTGGCTGAAAAAATCAGCAAAACAGAAATTCTCTGATATAACCCCATTGTAATTGTAATAAGTCAAATTTTTTAAATGATTATATTCAAATGGACTTTCATGAATTTAGATCATTACAGTGCCCTAGCGCGCCTGATAAATCTTCTGAGAAGAGCTGGAAAATTAGACGATTGTTCAAAGTACCTTGAACAGGTAAGTGTTAGTGTAATTTTAGTTTTGCGTAGCATGTCGAAACTTATTTTTCCTCCTCTCTTCCTTAGTTTTAAGTCGAAGGATATATGTGGCATATAAATGGAATAAGGCCCAAGCTCAGTTTCAATTTGAAGTTAAAAAATTTAAATTGAAAGATAAAATGGAGAAAATATGAAATTGCTATAAAAGGTGAACCACTGGAACCCTATCTTGGTTGCGATAGATCTTGTAGTAGAGTAAGAGTGTTTTCCATTCAAAACCTGAAGTTGGGATGCTTCAAAAACCTTGTTATTTTCTTCTCTTCCTTCTTGAAAAATACTATGGGACGTTAAAAACAATCAAAAACTTGGTTACTTTTAACACAAGAGCTCTGCAATCGCAGAGAGTTCGTGTTTCCTTTTCAAGGTAAGACTAACATCTTCGATTGAAAAGGGGATGACAATTGGTCTTCAAGACTACAAGTTCTCAGGAACACGTTTCCCATCTCATTTTTATTTTTCTTGTGCTGTATCCAATAACTTGTCTGAGGGGAGCCTTTGATTCTATTTCTTTTCAGGCAGAAAGTGCTATTCCACGTGCTGCTATGGATTCTGGATTAAATTACTGTAAAGGACTCTTTCACTGGTAGGATTACTGTTCGGTGGTGAATGAAGATGAAATTTTTCAATGCAAATCTGCATTGAAATATTCTTAAAATCTTAAGAATATTATTATTCCATCAAGGAACGGTGTGAGCACACTAGAGTGCTAGTAGAAGGAGTGTTGTGTCTTGCTTAAGACATGATTATTTATTTGTTTAAATGCAGGTACACAGTCAGCCCTACGGCAGCTCTTAAACATTTCAACCTGGCCAGGAAAGATGCTAGATGGTGAGAAGGAACTCTGTAGTTGTAATTGTGCGTCTTCCTGCTCGATAAGGCTGACAGTTAGTGTTCTTTCCAGTAATGACTTGTCAGCCAGGTGACTGGCTGACTTTCCTTTTGCCTGAGTGGTCAACTGTTCGCCTTTATAAACCATTTTTTACTAAATTACTGAGCAAATAACCAGCAAAGAGTCGTGAGCTTGAAATACGTCTCGAGAAGAAGAGTCAGACAGTCGGGCAAACACAACGAGGTTAAAAACATCAAACAGCGGTCAGTCAGATGTAGAGAATTTCAGACACACAGACTGACTTATTGACTTACTGGACTAACAGACTGGCTTGTTAAGTAAGTACCGTTAGATTAACCTTACCTTGAGTCTTGTTGAAGTTTCCCAGTTGTATTGTGTTGCTCGCGATTTAAGAGAGTATGGATATCATTTGGTAGCAAATACTGACGTTATTATTTTTATTTTTTAGGGGCGAGTATGCTGTTTACAACATGATTGAAATATGCCTTAACCCTGATAATGAAACTTTGGGAGGAGAAACCTTTGAGGCAGTTGATGGTGATGTGAGGTAAGAGAAAGGTTTTGAATATACACAGGGAACCTCAATAAATCTTAAGTAGCAAAAACAGTAGATGCCTGATTAATGACCATCACTCTGCTCAAAGTTTGTCATTAGGAACCAAAGTTTAACTCGTTGGCACTCTAATATCTACCTAGCCCTTTTCTTAATTCTTTAAATTCACATGAAATGTGACAAAACTCGTAATAAAAAAGACAACTGACCTACTGTAAACTGTCAAATAAGTGTTCACCTGTCCAGAGCTTCACATTTATTTTACGCCCTCCTCCCCCCTTCCCCCTTCCCCCCTCCCCAAACGGATTAATCAGCTTACACGTACCTTACTCTTAAAACTTGATTGACGACAGCTATTCAATGGACCCCGATCCTGACTTCCACTAAGTGAGGCTGATTAAACATTTGTCACTACTACCGAAAATAGTCCTTCCCACAACTTCTCTTACTTGGACGATCGGATGTTACTCTAGGGCTCAAACCATGTACTGTTTGTGACATCTGTGAATCGCATACATGGTCTTTTTTCTGTTAAAGATTTATTTTTCTAGTCACTATATTCCTTTCAAACTTGAAAGAAATGTGATAGAACTCTTGAAAAGAAAACTGACTTACTGTAAACTGTCAAATTAGTGTCCACCTGTTCAGAGCTTCAAATTTCTTAAACACCCTCCTCCACCTCTCCTTCCCCTCCTCTCCTCCCCTCCTCCCCCCCCTCTTCCCCTCCTCCCTAAGCGAAACGGATCAATCAGCTTACACATACCGTACTTATAACACGACTGACAACAGCTATTCAATGAACTGCGATTCTGACTTCCGCTGAGGTTGACTAAACATTGTCACTACTACCGACAATGATCCTTCCCACGACTTCTCTCATTTGAACGATGAGATGTTACTCTAGGGTTTACCATGTCCTGTTTGTGACTGCTGCTTCTGCGAATCGCATACATGTGGTTTTTTTCTGCGAAAGGTTTATTTTTCTTAACATGCTATATTTCTTTCAAACGTTATTCATACATTCATGCCTCCGTCGCATATCCTCTTTATGCGCAGTTCAAACGAGAAGCAAGATTCAGAAATGATGGCTGTTCGCACTGCTGAAAAGCTGCTAAAGGTGAAAAAGAATTTAGTCTCTTTTGTGTTATGTAAATTTGTGCCAAGGTCCGGTCTGGGGCTTGAACCTCGACCTCCCGCACGCCAGTCCGGCGCTCTACAACGTGTCAGCGGTTAAATTTTTTTTATTGCAGTTAAGTATGTATTTGACTTCGAAATACGCTTAACCTCAAAGGAAAAATAGTGATGGATGTGATATTCCCTTTTTCAAGGAATCGAATCTGACACTCTCCGAATTTGCAATCGATATTTCTTCCATTTTACTAATTTTAATCTAAGAACTTGATTCAAATCTTTACAGGATTTTAAGCCGAAGGGCAATCCTCTAAAGTACCGCATACTCGAAAATAGTGTCTTGATGGCATTCAAGACAAAACCAAATGTGGAAAAGGCCTTGTCTCAATTCATGGAAATAGCTACGACTGAGGTACATGATCTGCTACTATACAGGAATGTTCACCTGCGTTAAAACTGCTATAACTTTATTTAAGATTTGAAACACAGCATAATCTTGATGTAGCCTTTAAAGTGGGAGTAAGCATGAAATTTCTGAGAACCATCTGTATTATACAGTTGGGGCTAATTCTAAAAGCTGAATTTCTTGGGTAATCAATGGTCTTGCAATGCTTCTCATTCTGATGTAACTGTGTGTAACCACATGTGAGTCTCCATTCAATGAAAGGTTTCATTGATACGAACTCCCACTATCCCAAGTTTTCGGTGGATTAACAAAGGATTATACATGGTATTTGTTGTAATATTACCCTTCATGACGTAAACTAAAAACTTTATATTTTGTTCCCTCAGCATGAATGTGTTCCAGCCCTTCTGGGCATGGCTACCGCTTACATGTACTTAAAACAAACACCACGTGCTCGTAATCAGCTGAAAAGGATTGCAAAAATGAACTGGAACTCAGAGGTACAAAAATGCTTTTTCTTAAAAGTGCCCACTATTCCTTTCACTAAAAGAGAGGAGTAATGCAGTTTTCTATGACGATTTCGGGGGAGGAGTCGTTACTACAGTATATAGAGCTATCACTGTCAAGGGTTTGGGTTGGAGTGTATTCATTGTCATGTATTATTGTGTCTTTCAGGAAGCAGAAGAATTTGAGAGGAGCTGGCTTCTTTTAGCTGATATTTATATCCAGGTATGTAGTCTTTTTAGGATTATGAAAAAAAAGACAGCAAATGTTGTTTCAGAAGCTTCTTCTTTTTAGTAATATGCTTGTGAAGAACGATTTACGGAAGAGAAAAGCACCTATGTTAGTCAGTGTATCGGTGGTTTATCGGGCCGATTTATTCGGCAAATCTTGTTGTGAAGTTTTGTTTTCTAAGCTGGAAAAGAAAATTACTTCCTACTTATCATTCAGAGGTACAGGAAGAAGCTGGAGAATTTCATTGTTAAAAATAATGAATCTTGCCGTTGGATCGGATAGTTTTGGTTAACACTCAGCTCACGTGCATCCGTATTTCATTTCATCGTTGTTAATACGGTCCAATCGGGATGATTATACACTTTGTCGAGTTATTTTGGTCTGTTACCGTCTAAAAAACGAGTAAATACTGAAATCAAGTAAAGTATCGACTTTTATGTAATTTTCAGTCTGGCAAGTTTGACATGGCTGGAGATTTGTTAAAGAAATGTCTTCAGTATAACAAGGTAATGGACGCTGTTTCTTTGCCATCTATTCCTTGACGCCTATATGGAAGGGTTGCATTAACAGTTGGGAGACTCAACGTACTTTTGTATTTGTTTGTAGTCATGCTGTAAAGCTTGGGAGTACATGGGATACATCATGGAAAAGGAACAAGCTTATAAAGATGCAGCTAAGAACTACGAGAACGCTTGGATTTATGGCAATCAAAACAACCCAACTATAGGTATGGTCTGAATCTGTTATAGAAATCTGAACTGAAATAGAGGTTTTCTCTAAGAACTAGGTATACTTTTACATAGAGCTGGATGTTTGAGGTGTTTTTTTTTCCTCATTTTTCGTTTCCTGTCCAGGTTACAGACTAGCGTTCAACTATCTAAAGGCTAAACGTCTTGTAGATGCTATTGACGTATGCCACAAGGTAAAATATTATGTTTTTTGTTTCTTTTTCGTTTCTTATAGACGACAGTAGTAAGTCAAGCACGACCAAACCTGTACTCAAATCCCCGGTAGAATACTATTGCCCCATTGCAGACAAGCACTTTTCTCGTAGGAGACGAAAGCAATCTCTCTACTATTACTTTAGATAAAACAATGCACCAGAGGGTCAGAGATTATGCCAGCGATTATGACAATTTCTTGATTTATTCTTCCCCTCTACACTCAGACTTACAAAAGAATCTTGCCATACGATCAATTTGTCATCGATGTAGAGAAGTAAAGTTGACAACGGTCTTATGTTTCATTGTAAATAACCTTTAACTTTTTCCTCCAGGTATTAAGTCACCACCCAAACTATCCAAAGATAAGAAAAGAAATCCTGGACAAAGCAAGAGCAGCATTGCGGGCGTAAATATTCACTCTACCCCACACTTGGTTCGCTTACACATAGTTATTAACTGGTTTCTGCCGTATTTCATTTGATCATATTGAAAATCAAAACCAATTTAAATAAGATTGGTCAACGGAATTATCACCCTCTCATTCCTCTTAAAAAACTTTCTTTTTCCGACCAAAAGCGACAAACACAGAAGCCGTGAAGGACCTCAAGACAGTTATTTATAAAAAGTTAAATCTTTGTTTTATACCAAAGCTGCGTTCGAAATCAGGTTAAATTTAGCTAGACGTACTATGTGAAGTTTGATTTCTTGTAAACATTGCCAACAAGGCCTATGGCTACCATTGAAAAAAAAAACTTTCAAGGTCCATTAATCCTTCAAATACTAGCATGAGTATGTTTATTCTCCATAGTGTTTTTTAAGGAAAAAGTAACCCTATGATTTTCGAATGCATGTAATAAAGTTGGTTAGGTTTTGTACAGACAAAAACAGCGTTTAAACGTCCAATTTTTTGAAGTTATTTAACTTACACTAAATGGGATCTCTTTATCATTTAAACTGCATTTTCTAAATGGAAATACAGCATCGATGGACAAAAGAGTATAACTAAAAAAGTTACTAGTAGAAATCGTGTGGAATGCTTTCAAGGAAACCTCTGAAATTCTGTCTTTTTATCAGATGAACTACACTTGATGAAACTTGTAAAAAATTACTTTAAAATGATGGGCTCATTCAAGTATTCACGAAACTGTATCTTTTCAGGAAATTAAACCTGAATTTAATGCCTTTTTCTCCCAGTGATAAGCTTTCTTTCCGAATACTTCTCTATCAAACACGAGAAATCCTAAATTATGTCTATCATCGAAAAGGCTTAATTTTCTTGCCCATCGAGACCCTCTTGGCAATGTGAAACCTAAGTAAATATGCAACTGTTAAACGATTTACTACCGAGTTACACCGCTGACACCTTTATGAATGACTTGCTTACTTGGCGACCTGGTGTTTTGACCACGAGGATGAAAAAAACACTAGGCACAGTGTGTTAACCAGGGAAAAGGATATCTTGTTAGGTCTAGTTGAAGCAAAAACCCATATAATTGTGCAGAACTATAACTATGCGTCTTAGTTCTACCATATTTTAAATCTTTTTTCGTTTATAAGGGAAAACTCTGCGTAAACCTGGGCAAGAAATGCATTCTTGCTTCTGATTGGCCGGCTGATAAACCAGAAGCCTATTGATAATGTGGAAGAATTAAAACGCTTCATGCTTTTGATTGTAACTATCCTTGTTTTCGTTTGTTTCGTTATTTCTACCTTTCTTTTAATCTTTTTTCGACCTCGGGTAATTTTCTTGTACTGTGCTGAACATCGTCGTCGTGTTTGGTTTTTTACTTTAGCTTTGTTGGGATACTTTTCACATTGTATTTGAAATCGAAATGGAATTCCTTTTGTATCATTTTTAATTAGATACAAATTGAGGTTTCTAGCCCATTTGTAAAAAAAATCCGAAGTATCCTAAATTTTCTACACCACTCATCAGCCCTCCTGTCTTTATACTCCAATGTCTCGCGTTACTGAAGCAAGGAAGACGGGAGAGTCGATGACTGAGACCTTGAAGTAAGTTTTAACTTGCTTTTATGTCTTTAAAGAAGTATGGGTGACGATGAGTAGTGTCAAAAATTTAAGAAACTTCTGATTTTTTGAGAATGGGTCAGAAACCTCATTTTATGCGTACCTTTTTTTTTTTTTTCAATGTCAGACGATTCGTTTTTCACACTTCTTCGTTCCTGCCTTAGTTAGATAACTTTGCCATTTTGAAAAAAACCAGGTTTCACTGAGAAAAGAATTCTTGCCTGGAAATTTTGAAATTGAGACATCTTGTGTGTGCCAAATTCTTTGACATCTTCCTTAACTTGTTCACAGTTTCTTCCTAAACAAAGTCGTTTAAGTATTTAGTGGGCTTCCTGGAAGTTAGTGTAATAGTATCAAACTTACGTCACTTAATTGTTATTTAATGTTAAACTGAATGACGTTAGTGATCTTACTAACTTAATACGTTCTGTGATTGGTCGAAAAAAGGTCACAGCACTGTCTCTACAATTTATACACACACACGCAAGCACCAACAGCTTGAGGTCTAATTTCAATTAATCTCTTTATTTAGGTATCATTTTGTTTAATCGTCTTTTTATACATTTTTATACATTGCGTTTGCTGTAGTTTTCATGACGATGATATCACGCTTTCTTTCGCTTTGGACGCCATCTTGGATCGGCAGGCGCACACATGACCTCGATCTCATGTTATCATCTGCACCCTTATGGCTAGGATTAGTAGTTAGTAAAAATGCAAAAGGCCTTCTCTACATAAGAGCGAAGGGTAAAATATTGTACCGAATCTTAAACACAGCGCACGCTCCTTAAAATTACCGTATTGTAAGTTAGTTATTGTATACCAGATTTTTTCTATTGCATATCACTTTATACCATATATCAGTCATTTACTGCATATCAGTTATTTACCGCTTATCAGTTATTTATAGCATATCAGTTATTTACCACATTTATTTACTGCATATCAGTTATTTTTACCGCATATCAGCTGTTTACTGCAGATCAGTTATTTACCACTCATCAGTTATTTACCGCAGATCAATTTTTTGCTGCGGATCAGTTCTTTACCGCTGCCTTCGGTTTCAACTCGAACAAATCGTGATATTTGCTCAACTTCGTGCCTGAATTTTTAATTGATATATGATACAGAGATTGTCTTAAAAACAAAGCAAAGGATGTAGCATCACTTTTATTGTTGATACCACATAAAAGATTTGTAGCCAATAGGTTTTGGACGGCAGGTGTTCAGCTCAAATCCAACCAAACTTTAAAATGTTAATTAAAAATGGGGAAAAATCCAAACAGTATCTTGAGAGGTTCAATATTGATAAATACAAATGTTATACCAATTGAAAGGATTCAATGCAATCCCTGATAATTCAAAATAAGAAACTTAAAACTGTACCAAACCTTACATACAAATTTGAGTAAAATTTGTTTACTGCATGAGAGAAGTAAGTTTCAATTGAAGGGGGTCGGCAACTTTGTTGAGTTCTTCCGAATCATTCCTCGGCTGTAAGAGTCGAAAGTTTACACCTTAGTGGATTTCGTTAAGAATACTGTACACATGGCTCGATTAGGAAGATCGTTCCGCGAGGCCAGATATAAAGTAACTGTACATCTCTTCAATAAGCAATTAACACGACAACAGTCGATACGCAGCTTAAGCGTACTCAAAATATGGTTTTTGAACAATTCTGTCAATAAACAGATATTGCTAAATTCCATGTCGGTAAGCTGTAGCAAACCTCTGAATTTATTTCAATAAGCTCTTTTTGTCGAATGAAATCGTTGAAGATCGGAACTCCTGGAATAATAGTTGCCTACACTTTCGAAGGTCCTTCAAATGTCCAAATTCAAATGTCCAAATTGATTTTTGGACACTTTTGTTGGAATAGAAAGAAAACGGTTAAAACAGATAAATCGGCTCTTAAATCTTCATCAGAGAAAGCCACGGAGGGAAATTGCTGCATAGCTAGGGCTAGGTTACGATTTCAGGCTGGGCTTTCGAGCATCGAGCTTTAAGTAACCGCAAAGTCGATACCTAAAGAGCAGAGGAAAAATTTACCACATGAATCGATTAGGCCCATTCGAAATTGAATTTAAGTCTGTTTAAACTAAGTAATTTATTCCGGGACATGAACTTTAATCATGCCCCTCCTTCGAGTTAGAAGTTTATGCTGATGACCCTCCTCAAACGGTTTCCTATAGTTTCGCACGTATACGCATGTATACTCCACGGCGCCTCTGTTTTAGGTGCTCACAAGCCTCGTGTTTCTTGGCAGCAGTTGCTGAATTCAAAACACGCGTCTCTAATATCTGAAGACGTGAAACTTGAAGCCGTTGAGTTAGGTTTGCCTTGTTTTTAGATAATGTAAGATCACAGGTCCTTGCCGCTCATCCAAAGTCACGTTGACAATGGTTCAGTTTATACAACACCTACACAGGTGCTTCTTAATCCAAGCGATGGAGCTGACATGGATCTTTTCGGCCTTGTTCCATTAGACGTTCCCACGGATTCTAAAACCAAAGCAAAACCAGGGGAAGATGCTGTTCTTCGCAAAGGAAGATCTGGTGAGCAAGGATTCTTTACTGAAGCTGCTAATCTTCGAGTGGCACCGTCGTTTGGAATGAATTTTTCTGACTTTTTTAATCGTAACATCTCTAGAATGGCATTTCTAAAGCGGCGATCTCTATAGCAGTAAACCAATGGATTTGCTAATGAGTTTAATTGCATCAATGTCTCGGTTAATCGGAAAAACCAAGTGTTACGCATGATTGTGAAAAAGTTTCCTAAAATCGCTACGATTGAAGGTAGAAGAAACGAGAGGATTACTATTCCGGTTATAAGACCAGTCGTTTTAGCCACTCTAGCGCTCTGTTTTGCCTGAAGTAAAGCGTTAACATCGATGACTTCGTTCCTTTTTCGATTTCGCACTTCAAGGTACACGTTAACATAAAAATATACGATAGCTGTTACTACTGCTACTCCCCAAAACATTCCTTCGATTATATCTACATTTTCAAACCACTCAACATCCCCGCTAGTCCCTCTTAAAACGAAGTAAGGAGTTACGATCATGAAAGGCAGCCAAGCAAATAAAGCAAGTTTCTTCGCCCGGCCTCTTGTTATGATCGTTTTGTAGTCCGTCCATCTGCAGACTGCCATGTACCTTTCCCAAGCAATTACTGTCAAGTGAGACAGTGCTGTCCGAGAGGCAGAGAACATCACGGTTACGCCCAAGAAGTCTACTATACATACATGGTCGAGAAAAGTTTGATGAGCTATTAACAAATCAACAGCTGCTGTTAACGGCATGGATACAGCACCAGTCAAAACGTCTGCAACCGCCAAACTGCTCAGCATTATGGTGGAAACTCTTTGCAATTGTTTTTTCTTTCTCACAGCTACAATCTCTAACACGTTCAGCACGACGACAGCGGGAGCTGCAAGAATTGTAATGACAAATATAAACCACGGAAGTGTAGTTTCAACCAGTTCCCACTCAAAGCTTGGATAATACCAACAGTGAAATCTCCACCTCGTCTCGTTGGCGTTCTTGATGAATTCAGACTCGTTCATATTGTATGGGAGTGTCGTTTACCAAGTTTACTTGTTTTTATCAACTGAGTTTCCAAAGCTGTCGGTTTGAGTGATAGCCCTTCGTCAATGCAAAGCGTACAAAGTAAAGTCCTTTTTCGTGTTTAGAAACAGAAAGGGAAGGTTCTGTCTTCAATCGTTTTTCCTTATCAGTCGGCAGGGAATTCTGAATTACTTGTAATCATCTCGACTTTGGTTGCCAAGGAAATACTTGTTTTTACTTATAAACAGCATACCAGCTGCTCTTTTATATAAAAAGTCAGATAAACGGAACACTAAGAAAACCAATTTGAGTCCTTACAATCCCTTAAAAATAACTGAAATGGTTTTCCGGTACTTTAGTCTTGTGCATTTTACCATCTTAAAATTGATTTTTAAGATTGGGCGACGCACTTTACCGAACCCATCAGATATTTGACAAAAATATTCGAATGACGAAATTCTTCTTCCCTTCAAAACCGAGAAAACTGTTCCAATTATCTAGTTTCAAATCGTACACTTTCTTTTCGCTTACTTCCCTTTTTTTCCCTTAGTCTATGTTAATTCACCGTGAAAATTTGACCTATTATGCCGATAAAGAAAGATGGCTGTTTCTTTCTTCGCTTTTCTCCGTCAGAAGAAGTACTTTTTTTACTTAAATATAAAATGGAAACTGCTTTTTTGGTGAAGAAAATAAATGACTGATAGAAAGTCTGATGCTAGGTCCAGTTTATTTCCCACCGTTGGTAGAAGAGGAAATGTAGAAAATCAATCTCCAAGTAATTATGAACGCTTTTGAATGATTGTGACGGCTTTATCAGGACAGATTCTGTTCCTTTTTACCATTTTTATGGAAATCGCAATGAGTACGTGTTTTGCCTTCAACCAAAACACTTTTTATCCTTGGTTTTGTATCGAGCCAGAACTATTGTCATCATGCATCTACTTACTGAGACAAGCGCGGAAATCTCATATCATGTTTTGAAAAATTATGATAAATTAACCTGTCAATCTTTAGTATCAGAACGAATTTAATCATTCGACAGGATCA